ATAAAAATTTACAATAATATTTTGTATTATGTTTTATTTAAAAAACAAAAATTACCTTCTAAGTTAGAAGTTTGATCTAAGTTCATTTTTTTAATAATTTTCAATTCAACCTCTTTCTCAGCAACTGCAATTAATTATATCAACATATCTGAATTTTTTGCCAAGCATAAATTCTTTTTATTTCTCAAACATTCTTAACCTACTTACTATAGGCCATTTTTAAAACCCACACATGCTCCCCTATATATACTATCTTGGTCCAACAATCCATATAATAAATACAAGTTATCAGCATTTAAGGCACTTATTAGAAAAGCGTTTTTATATTGCACCAACATACAGGATCATCTTAAGGAGATTAGTAGAATTAAAAGAATTGCAACAAATTTATGCTACAAAAGACACTGAAGGCCTGGTCAAAAGTTACAGACAACATAAAGGCAAAAAAGATACTAAAGTAGATGCAATTAACAAATTCACATACAATAAGCATATAGGAGGAGTGATTAATGAATTGAGTACTTATAAAAATGCAAGAATGGTATATAAGAGCCAATATCTATAGCTTACTAAGGAACAATAAAGACAGCGTAAAAATGCAAGAGAAAGCTGGAGTTTATAAAATACCATTTGAAAATCAACAATTAGGAGTAGCAAAGGATTATGTTGATGTAACCAGAAGAAACTTAACATTGTATTTGTGTTCTCACATACGTATTGCTAATAAAGAGCACGACAACACCATTTTAGCAATCATGGCGCAGACGGAAGGAGCAAATGTAAAATGGGATGAGACAAAAATCATTAATGGTCCAATATCTTTTCATTGCATTAGAAATGGAAAAGATGGAAATAAAAGTAAAATGAAAAACCGTTGCCTAAATGCCAAGGATGCTAATGTGCTTCCAACAGCATGGAAGTACATGATAGAAAAAAGCATGGAGATTAAAAACCTTTAAAGCATGTAGTAGTTATACTTAGCCTTGTTTACTGTATTTATTTATGCTATTTTATTTTATTTACTATTATTTATTTTTTCATTTATTTAATATACACAATTATTGTAAATCTTTTAAATTTAAAAGTGAAACGTATTTGAAAAACATTGCATTCCATTTTGGAACAGTGATTGTAAGCCTGAAGATGGCCTATAATAAGTAGGTTGAAAATGTTTGAGAAATAAAAAGAATTTATGCTCAGCAAAAAATTTAGGTTTTGATATAATCAATTCAAAGCTTTTTTTTTTTATGATGATTACTGCAAACTTTAATAATTTCTTTTCTATTTGTGAAAATTTAATTAAGTAATTCAAAGGTAATTTTTTAATATATATCTATCTTATATGGCATTATTATGATTTTGGAGGTTGCAGAATGTATTAAATTACTTTAAAAAATGAAAATAATTATATCATTTGATTTCAAGATATTTTGTATATCTTAAAAATAATTAATTTTATCCTGGGAAACAGTTCACTTTTATCCCAGAACCTGGGACTAGCAAAAGACTGGGAAATGAGAAACCCTAGTATGTATATACATACATATTACTGCTAATCCCACAGTAATGAGTTACAGGTTCAAGTATTGCTCCAGGCTGATCTTTTCTTCCAGAATATTTTAAATTTTTTCTAATTATTAAATTATCATGAGATGGCAGCCTAACCTCCAACCTCTATCCAAATTGCTTCATATCTAGTTACTAAATTAGCCTTAATATTGCCCAGTGAATAATCTGGTAGATCATTTGACAGTATTAATTAAATTGGATTATTGCATATGGTGTTATACAGTATTAATAATTAGAATTAATAATCTTAATGTAAAAAAACAACATAAAATTTGCCTACACTTTAAGCCAAATTTTATTGTTTAATTAATTAATATTTAAGATTGTTTTTTATAAAAATTTAGTCAGCTATAAATCATCCAAAAAATTTATGTATTAATTCATACATTGTACAGAATATTTTAAATAACTGGATACAATCTTTCTTTCTTATATGCAGAAAGCTAAACTGAGCCTGAATTTATTAAAATAGATATAACTTTTAAAAATAGTAATAATTTATCTAATAAATCAACATTGTAAGATACTTCCAACATTTTAAATAATAACATTATAATTTCTCCATTTCTTAGAGCAAAGTTTGTTTCAAGAGCAACATACTCTTTGCTACAGGCTGTTGGGTTTCCTCCTATTCGGGATCAACAAGGAAAACTTCCACACATGGTAGACTCTCTAAACAGTACAGATTTTGAAAAAGAAATACAAGATCCATATATCTGCAATGATATTATTTTACAGTTTCTTGCTTATTCTTGGTTTGTATATCAATTCATAACTTAAATTTTTTGTAGAAATACTTAATTATCTTTAACCTAGTTGTGTAAAATTCTTATTTTGCATCTTTTTCTTTACTTAAAACAACTGTAATAGAATATATATAAATTATATACAAGTTTAGTAATTCTCTTGATTTTCGTAAAAATTATTATTTTATTATCTTTCATTTTAAAAGTTCTTATATCATTTTCTATCTATAAAATTTTTAATGAAAATTTTATATTGATATTATTCCAAAGGAAACTTTCACAAATTTAGAAGAAATACTAAGATAAAGTGTCATAATTTGTCCTTTTATGCCTTGTGGTCAGATAAAATAGTCTGAAGAGAGTACAGTGGAGTCTAATTTTATTTTGAGGCTCTTGTCCACATCAATATGCAAAACAGTATTAATAAAATAAAGGCCAACTTTTTTGTAGCTCTCTTCAGACTATTTTATCCAACCTTGAGGTATGAAAAACATGAATTATGAATATACTTATGTTTTTGTAGTGTTTCTTCTGAATTTTTGAAATTCTTGCTATAGTTATTAGCCTGATTTTATATTTATTTATTTTATCAGTATTCATATTATTCCATTTAAGGTGACACCTTTTTTATTTTGAATGAAAATGAACATGTCAACTTAGAGTTCCATTATGGCATGAGACATTTGTGGTGATGAACATTCAAATTAAACATGACTAGTGAAAAAGATGAGAATAAACAATATATTATTAGTTTACATATCATTAACATATATAAGTTCAGTAATTCGTGTACCAGAGGTTATAGAATATGTTGATACTCAGCAAGCTTAAAGCCTATAGCTCCATAAGAAAAAAATGTATGCAGCCTGCTGGAAGCCTACAAAGCTCCCTTATGGCCCACATTCAGAAAAGGTTGCTCATCACTGGTTTAGACCATCATTCTCCTTTATACTAATAGGATATTCTGAAATAGCTTAATTTAGTTTGGAAAAGAACTGTGACATCCTTCCATTAATGAATTAATTTTAGGGACCATAAATTTATAAAAATAATAATAAAAAAAGACCTTTGTATCTATTAAGTTCAAACCTAATTCTCTTCTGAGTTCACTCTCTTCTCCCAGCAATGCTTCCACTGTAGAAGCATTTTTCAATCTTTATCTTTGTATCTATAGACCCAAGTCTCTTCTCTGGATATGATGTTCATCATGAAATAAGGATCAGCATTGGTACATTCTAGCATGTCATGAGTAACGTGCAGCTAGTTTTCCTTCTGGTCATGATTGAGAAGCTTTGGAATGTATTTTGCCACAACTCAACACATGCCAGGATCGTCAGTCACAATTGCTTGCACTGAACTATATAAAATGCCTACTTCATTAACTATCTCTCTGAATGTTATTCTATGATCTTCCATTGCCAATCACTGCACTTGCTCAATTGTTTTTGGATTTTTGCTGGTTGGTCTACAAGAACTTTGTTGCTTTGAACTAATGTTGCTTTGAACTAACCGTCTTTGAAATGACAATACCACTGTTTAATCTGCTTAGTACCCATAGCTTCCTTATCAAAACCTTTTTATTTTCTCATTTATCTTTGCATGTCACCAAGTTTCTGACAAAATTTAATGAAAATTCTTTGTTCAAAATATTTTATTTTTACGTAATCACTAATGTAACAATAACAGTTTAAACATGCAACTATTATGGCTGTCTGACGGCAACTGCAGGGTAGGACAGTCTCACCAAAATTTACACACGTAAAGTACGGTCTAAGGTTACATGAAGACAGCTTGCAAATACTTGCAAAGAAAAAAAATAAGGTTCAGATACTTTTTGGTCAGACCTCATATGAGTGTTTATTACAGGTTTTACTGTATTACAGAAGATTTACATATAATGTAAATATTCTTGTCATTTTTGAACACTATATAGTTCATACACACAACACAAGGCAATCTTCATTGTAAATTTATTCAATTTTCTGTAATACAGTAAAACTGTATATACTGTAATACTGTAAATATTCTGTAATACAGTAAAACCTGTGAAAGCTGGAACCTGAACAAGGCAACCTTTGAGGTGAAAACTTCAAATATTTTTCAGGAAAGCAATTACATTAACCTAAGAAACATTCTCTGAAAGTGGAACATGTGAGAACAAATAGAATGAAAGAAATTGCAACCCATACCCATGGAACTATAGATGCAAAAGCTTGAAACCGTGTTCTGTATTTCCACATTGGTGCAGTGCCATTTATCAGGAAATAGATTATTTTTCATTAGAGGGAATTTCAAAGTATGCTTTAGGACTCTAAAGATGATAAAGACAATCAGCTAATAGCAGAGACTGAGTCAAAGTTTTTAGCTACATAAAGGGTTACAAGGAATTTGGAAAGAAGACCAACAATTTTTTGATAAGGTTATGGACTTAGAAATTCATTTCAATAACTTCATTAAAAACATAAAAGCAACTATGCAAATGATGCATCAAGTTCTTAGTTAACTGGAGTTGTTTTAATTTAACTTCTTGATTAAATAATATTTAACATTGCAAAGTTAGCTCATTTTTTTAATTAAACAATCTATGTGCACTTATTTGTATGTAAAATCTTTAATATGTACAGCCATCTGTAAGAAATGAAATTTGAATAAACATAAGTAAATCATAAAAAAAATTATTTTTAATTCAATTCCATAAAAGAGAAGAAAATTTTCAGCCCATTTTATACAGCAATAGAGAGCAATGGAAAAGTGTTAAGACTATATTATATAAATGGTGAAAAACCCAAGACACAGAAAAATATGATAGTCCCATTGAGTTTCTGGCCGTTGCAGGTTTTACTATATATATGTAGCTTAAATAAATTGCTATGAATGCATCTATACATTCATTATTCAGATCAAATTTTTATGATCCATTGAAACTTGTGTATTAGTCATATAATTTCATACCTCTTTTCATAATAATGTTTATGTATGACTGATTATGCATTGCATTTCTAATTTAATTAAAATATTTTGTGCATTATTGTCATTGATATAAATATACTGTATTTATTTGAAAATTCTGAAAAATATTAAATTAATAACCACTCATATTTACTAAAATTTTAAAAAATGGTGATGATTTTAATCTATTGAATGAATTATATAATGTAAAATTTATTTGTTATAAATTCATAAGTGCATAAGGTTATAAAAACTTGTTTAAAAAATTATTCCCATCAATGGTATTAAGTTTTTATATGGTTAATATCAGGGCTATGGAGTCGGAGTTGTGGAGTTTTGGTGTTTTAGCCGGAGTCGGAGTTGTCAAAAAATCTGCCGACTCTGACTCCTGTTTAGTTACCAACTTGTCATGTATATGAAATGGAGTTGGATGGTAAGGAAGAGTCAGAGTTGGAGTCGGTAGATTTTTATGCGACTCCACAGCCCTGGTTAATATAATCATTTGACTTTAATAATAGAAAAAACCAAACTGCTAATATTGGAAATTATTCTGAGTAAAACAGTTTCTTATACATATTCAATAGCTTTTCAAATTTGTATGGTTTAAAATTTTATAAATAATTTTGTTATATATCTTATTTATAAGAAAGAAACTTTATTAAAAAATATAATTTATTAAACATTTTTAAACGTTAAAAGCATAATTATTAGTTTATTTTTTATTTTTCAGCCATTTAGACAGTAAAAGGTTTTTCCCTCATGTTTTATTCTTCACTTTTCAGTTTTACCGATTTCCACCAATACAAACTGAGAGGTAAAGTTTTTATATTTTATTATTAAAAATTTAATTAGAAATTTTAAAGAACTTTATCTAATTCAGATTGCTGTTAGAAAATCAAGACAATATTAATTACAATAAACCATATATATTGTACTGTTTTCAAAGTGGTGGAAATAAAAAAACAAATATACCAGGATATCATGTAAATATTTCAGAATAAGTTTTTAACTATAATATAAAAAAAAAACGTTAATTTCTACAAAAAAATTTTTATTTTAGGTGAGATATCATATAGATCCAGCTTATTTGACTCCTGGTGAAAGAAAAGAATTTTTAAATTATATTTATTCTCACTGGTTACATATTGATGTTTGGGATGGTAATTCATTACTCTATGTTGGTACTGCATCTCTACAACTGAAGGTATGTATCAATAGTTTATGAAGTTATTTATGACTGCATTTAACTACTTCTATACTTCTGTACTTAGATAATTTCAGATTTTGCTTTTAAAAGAATCATTTCTGCCGTGTGTGTATATATATATATATGAGGTATCTGTAATTTTGTACATCTTAAAACCATAACAGGTTCTTCTTTAAAAGAAAAATAATCTGAAAAATCATTTGAATTGATTGTTAAGATTCAAAGATTTGATAAAAGTTGAAGTTCAACTTTTTATTTTAAGTAAAAGATTGAGTGTGTTTTAGATTAGTTCTTGATATGAAAAAGGACAAATGAAGATGCTGTTTGGATAGTCTGTTCATGTTTTTAATATAAATCATATTTAAATCAAGAGTATTTTTAATGTTATTATGTAATCCTTTATTGATAAACATTAATTTTGCTAAAGAGAATTTGTATTTTTTATTTAAATGTTAAAATTTAAAAATTATTTAATAATGAAAATTATGTTCATTTTTAGTGTTTATGTAGACAAGGAAGAGAAGCAGTTCAGAGTATGCTAGAATTGGATATTTGGCAAGAAAATTATGTTGATGAATGCACAAATAGAGTAAATAATGAAAAAAAATTACAAGGAAATTTATATTTAAGAATTGCTAATATAGGTTCACCTTCATCTATAACATCTTTGAAAAAAATTCATGGTAAATTTTTAAAAAGTTCTTAGAACTGTAATTAGAATTTTTTATTTTTTAATGTTAAATAAATTTAAAATTTTAATTTTGTTCTGTAGATTTATCTTCTACGAATTTACTACCTATTGTCACACCACAGCCTGTAAATAAACATGAATATAAAGGTTAAAAATTTTCACAAAATCAAATTATTTTATTATGTTATATATATATAGTATCATAATTGTAAATTCATTTTTAGCTTGTTTAGTGACTAAAGCACGTCCAATTGTAGAATTAAATCAGGAAATCAGTTCCTTTCTTGTTTCACACTTTGATGACTTGTATTTAGAAAATGTTATTGGGTTATCTGAAGAAAAAAGAAGAAAATTGGCAAGAATGGAAGCAGTCAGAAAAGCTATTGAAGAAAATGGAAATATTTGTAAAATGGTAAAAAGGTTTTTCGTATTATACAAATTAAGAAATAGATATTTGTTTTTGAAGTTGATTTAAGGTTAAATTTACAAAAAATTTAAATAGTATTGGTTAAAGACCCATCTTTAAAACATACAAATAAACTGCTTATTTTTAACTAGAAACTAGAAAAAAAATTAACATAATTTTAAATGGAAAATGTATTTTATATATAAACAAATTGCATTTTTTATTAAACTGTGTTGCAGTTTTATATTGAGATACTTGTGGGTTATTCTCCTGCATGTCATATCACATACTGTGTATCTCACTCGTCTCGCATATCCATCATTTGCTTATGAAATGATGTACAGAAGTTTGAGTGACCAATGAAATAATTAAATTTCACACACAGATATTGAAAGATATTATCTTAATTATAACATTAAAAAAATATTTTTTTATTTATAAAATCAGAATAACTACTGTTTAAGAAACCAAACATATACCATACAATAATGTGCATATTAGCGCACATTACATCGTCTTTGATTTAAGAATTTGTGTTGTCAGGACATTTTATGGAGAATGGATTATTCATTCAATATTCAGAATTTGCCTAAGCCTGAAATTGATCTTGTTCATATTTTTCAGGAATATGGTATTACTTTCTGAAAGCTTTTGCAAAAATGGTATTAAAATGAAGTTATATTTAGTGTAAAAAATCTAAAATGTAGGTGTGATGTTGGTATACAGACAAATATATGGAAAATGCATAGATTCAACATGGCATCAAAGTACAAAAAAGGCATAAAATTCAACATAGAACATCATGAAAACATCTAAATTGATATAGTGCTGAATTCAGAGATCATTTCAAATAGAAAATAAGTTTCATAAACTACTGAAAACTATTAGATAAAATGTGACCAGCTGATTAAACCAATACTTAGAGAATTGATACAATTGAATTTATTACATTTTAATATCATACAAGTATTAAGAATTGAAAGAATCTATATATATTTTATAACAAAATGTCTATATTATTTTTATTTTTTAATAAAGTATTTGATTATTTGAGTATAAAACAAAGTAACTTGTGAAAGTGGCAAATTTAAATTTCTATTTTTGGATGGCGCACTGTTTTGACTGTTTCAAAAGTAGTGCAACATGCAGCACAATGAAGACAGATTGGAGGATAACCCAACAGAATCTTTTTATTTAAAGTATCCTTATAAAACACTTAAAAAATATTTCATTGTTATTTAATGGGAATAATTTTTAACATTGAGTAATAAAATAAGTCTATAATTATATTCATNTGCAGAAAGCTAAACTGAGCCTGAATTTATTAAAATAGATATAACTTTTAAAAATAGTAATAATTTATCTAATAAATCAACATTGTAAGATACTTCCAACATTTTAAATAATAACATTATAATTTCTCCATTTCTTAGAGCAAAGTTTGTTTCAAGAGCAACATACTCTTTGCTACAGGCTGTTGGGTTTCCTCCTATTCGGGATCAACAAAGAAAACTTCCACACATGGTAGACTCTCTAAACAGTACAGATTTTGAAAAAGAAATACAAGATCCATATATCTGCAATGATATTATTTTACAGTTTCTTGCTTATTCTTGGTTTGTATATCAATTCATAACTTAAATTTTTTGTAGAAATACTTAATTATCTTTAACCTAGTTGTGTAAAATTCTTATTTTGCATCTTTTTCTTTACTTAAAACAACTGTAATAGAATATATATAAATTATATACAAGTTTAGTAATTCTCTTGATTTTCGTAAAAATTATTATTTTATTATCTTTCATTTTAAAAGTTCTTATATCATTTTCTATCTATAAAATTTTTAATGAAAATTTTATATTGATATTATTCCAAAGGAAACTTTCACAAATTTAGAAGAAATACTAAGATAAAGTGTCATAATTTGTCCTTTTATGCCTTGTGGTCAGATAAAATAGTCTGAAGAGAGTACAGTGGAGTCTAATTTTATTTTGAGGCTCTTGTCCACATCAATATGCAAAACAGTATTAATAAAATAAAGGCCAACTTTTTTGTAGCTCTCTTCAGACTATTTTATCCAACCTTGAGGTATGAAAAACATGAATTATGAATATACTTATGTTTTTGTAGTGTTTCTTCTGAATTTTTGAAATTCTTGCTATAGTTATTAGCCTGATTTTATATTTATTTATTTTATCAGTATTCATATTATTCCATTTAAGGTGACACCTTTTTTATTTTGAATGAAAATGAACATGTCAACTTAGAGTTCCATTATGGCATGAGACATTTGTGGTGATGAACATTCAAATTAAACATGACTAGTGAAAAAGATGAGAATAAACAATATATTATTAGTTTACATATCATTAACATATATAAGTTCAGTAATTCGTGTACCAGAGGTTATAGAATATGTTGATACTCAGCAAGCTTAAAGCCTATAGCTCCATAAGAAAAAAATGTATGCAGCCTGCTGGAAGCCTACAAAGCTCCCTTATGGCCCACATTCAGAAAAGGTTGCTCATCACTGGTTTAGACCATCATTCTCCTTTATACTAATAGGATATTCTGAAATAGCTTAATTTAGTTTGGAAAAGAACTGTGACATCCTTCCATTAATGAATTAATTTTAGGGACCATAAATTTATAAAAATAATAATAAAAAAAGACCTTTGTATCTATTAAGTTCAAACCTAATTCTCTTCTGAGTTCACTCTCTTCTCCCAGCAATGCTTCCACTGTAGAAGCATTTTTCAATCTTTATCTTTGTATCTATAGACCCAAGTCTCTTCTCTGGATATGATGTTCATCATGAAATAAGGATCAGCATTGGTACATTCTAGCATGTCATGAGTAACGTGCAGCTAGTTTTCCTTCTGGTCATGATTGAGAAGCTTTGGAATGTATTTTGCCACAACTCAACACATGCCAGGATCGTCAGTCACAATTGCTTGCACTGAACTATATAAAATGCCTACTTCATTAACTATCTCTCTGAATGTTATTCTATGATCTTCCATTGCCAATCACTGCACTTGCTCAATTGTTTTTGGATTTTTGCTGGTTGGTCTACAAGAACTTTGTTGCTTTGAACTAATGTTCGGCCGTCTTTGAAATGACAATACCACTGTTTAATCTGCTTAGTACCCATAGCTTCCTTATCAAAACCTTTTTATTTTCTCATTTATCTTTGCATGTCACCAAGTTTCTGACAAAATTTAATGAAAATTCTTTGTTCAAAATATTTTATTTTTACGTAATCACTAATGTAACAATAACAGTTTAAACATGCAACTATTATGGCTGTCTGACGGCAACTGCAGGGTAGGACAGTCTCACCAAAATTTACACACGTAAAGTACGGTCTAAGGTTACATGAAGACAGCTTGCAAATACTTGCAAAGAAAAAAAATAAGGTTCAGATACTTTTTGGTCAGACCTCATATGAGTGTTTATTACAGGTTTTACTGTATTACAGAAGATTTACATATAATGTAAATATTCTTGTCATTTTTGAACACTATATAGTTCATACACACAACACAAGGCAATCTTCATTGTAAATTTATTCAATTTTCTGTAATACAGTAAAACTGTATATACTGTAATACTGTAAATATTCTGTAATACAGTAAAACCTGTGAAAGCTGGAACCTGAACAAGGCAACCTTTGAGGTGAAAACTTCAAATATTTTTCAGGAAAGCAATTACATTAACCTAAGAAACATTCTCTGAAAGTGGAACATGTGAGAACAAATAGAATGAAAGAAATTGCAACCCATACCCATGGAACTATAGATGCAAAAGCTTGAAACCGTGTTCTGTATTTCCACATTGGTGCAGTGCCATTTATCAGGAAATAGATTATTTTTCATTAGAGGGAATTTCAAAGTATGCTTTAGGACTCTAAAGATGATAAAGACAATCAGCTAATAGCAGAGACTGAGTCAAAGTTTTTAGCTACATAAAGGGTTACAAGGAATTTGGAAAGAAGACCAACAATTTTTTGATAAGGTTATGGACTTAGAAATTCATTTCAATAACTTCATTAAAAACATAAAAGCAACTATGCAAATGATGCATCAAGTTCTTAGTTAACTGGAGTTGTTTTAATTTAACTTCTTGATTAAATAATATTTAACATTGCAAAGTTAGCTCATTTTTTTAATTAAACAATCTATGTGCACTTATTTGTATGTAAAATCTTTAATATGTACAGCCATCTGTAAGAAATGAAATTTGAATAAACATAAGTAAATCATAAAAAAAATTATTTTTAATTCAATTCCATAAAAGAGAAGAAAATTTTCAGCCCATTTTATACAGCAATAGAGAGCAATGGAAAAGTGTTAAGACTATATTATATAAATGGTGAAAAACCCAAGACACAGAAAAATATGATAGTCCCATTGAGTTTCTGGCCGTTGCAGGTTTTACTATATATATGTAGCTTAAATAAATTGCTATGAATGCATCTATACATTCATTATTCAGATCAAATTTTTATGATCCATTGAAACTTGTGTATTAGTCATATAATTTCATACCTCTTTTCATAATAATGTTTATGTATGACTGATTATGCATTGCATTTCTAATTTAATTAAAATATTTTGTGCATTATTGTCATTGATATAAATATACTGTATTTATTTGAAAATTCTGAAAAATATTAAATTAATAACCACTCATATTTACTAAAATTTTAAAAAATGGTGATGATTTTAATCTATTGAATGAATTATATAATGTAAAATTTATTTGTTATAAATTCATAAGTGCATAAGGTTATAAAAACTTGTTTAAAAAATTATTCCCATCAATGGTATTAAGTTTTTATATGGTTAATATCAGGGCTATGGAGTCGGAGTTGTGGAGTTTTGGTGTTTTAGCCGGAGTCGGAGTTGTCAAAAAATCTGCCGACTCTGACTCCTGTTTAGTTACCAACTTGTCATGTATATGAAATGGAGTTGGATGGTAAGGAAGAGTCAGAGTTGGAGTCGGTAGATTTTTATGCGACTCCACAGCCCTGGTTAATATAATCATTTGACTTTAATAATAGAAAAAACCAAACTGCTAATATTGGAAATTATTCTGAGTAAAACAGTTTCTTATACATATTCAATAGCTTTTCAAATTTGTATGGTTTAAAATTTTATAAATAATTTTGTTATATATCTTATTTATAAGAAAGAAACTTTATTAAAAAATATAATTTATTAAACATTTTTAAACGTTAAAAGCATAATTATTAGTTTATTTTTTATTTTTCAGCCATTTAGACAGTAAAAGGTTTTTCCCTCATGTTTTATTCTTCACTTTTCAGTTTTACCGATTTCCACCAATACAAACTGAGAGGTAAAGTTTTTATATTTTATTATTAAAAATTTAATTAGAAATTTTAAAGAACTTTATCTAATTCAGATTGCTGTTAGAAAATCAAGACAATATTAATTACAATAAACCATATATATTGTACTGTTTTCAAAGTGGTGAAAATAAAAAAACAAATATACCAGGATATCATGTAAATATTTCAGAATAAGTTTTTAACTATAATATAAAAAAAAAACGTTAATTTCTACAAAAATATTTTTATTTTAGGTGAGATATCATATAGATCCAGCTTATTTGACTCCTGGTGAAAGAAAAGAATTTTTAAATTATATTTATTCTCACTGGTTACATATTGATGTTTGGGATGGTAATTCATTACTCTATGTTGGTACTGCATCTCTACAACTGAAGGTATGTATCAATAGTTTATGAAGTTATTTATGACTGCATTTAACTACTTCTATACTTCTGTACTTAGATAATTTCAGATTTTGCTTTTAAAAGAATCATTTCTGCCGTGTGTGTATATATATATATATATGAGGTATCTGTAATTTTGTACATCTTAAAACCATAACAGGTTCTTCTTTAAAAGAAAAATAATCTGAAAAATCATTTGAATTGATTGTTAAGATTCAAAGATTTGATAAAAGTTGAAGTTCAACTTTTTATTTTAAGTAAAAGATTGAGTGTGTTTTAGATTAGTTCTTGATATGAAAAAGGACAAATGAAGATGCTGTTTGGATAGTCTGTTCATGTTTTTAATATAAATCATATTTAAATCAAGAGTATTTTTAATGTTATTATGTAATCCTTTATTGATAAACATTAATTTTGCTAAAGAGAATTTGTATTTTTTATTTAAATGTTAAAATTTAAAAATTATTTAATAATGAAAATTATGTTCATTTTTAGTGTTTATGTAGACAAGGAAGAGAAGCAGTTCAGAGTATGCTAGAATTGGATATTTGGCAAGAAAATTATGTTGATGAATGCACAAATAGAGTAAATAATGAAAAAAAATTACAAGGAAATTTATATTTAAGAATTGCTAATATAGGTTCACCTTCATCTATAACATCTTTGAAAAAAATTCATGGTAAATTTTTAAAAAGTTCTTAGAACTGTAATTAGAATTTTTTATTTTTTAATGTTAAATAAATTTAAAATTTTAATTTTGTTCTGTAGATTTATCTTCTACGAATTTACTACCTATTGTCACACCACAGCCTGTAAATAAACATGAATATAAAGGTTAAAAATTTTCACAAAATCAAATTATTTTATTATGTTATATATATATAGTATCATAATTGTAAATTCATTTTTAGCTTGTTTAGTGACTAAAGCACGTCCAATTGTAGAATTAAATCAGGAAATCAGTTCCTTTCTTGTTTCACACTTTGATGACTTGTATTTAGAAAATGTTATTGGGTTATCTGAAGAAAAAAGAAGAAAATTGGCAAGAATGGAAGCAGTCAGAAAAGCTATTGAAGAAAATGGAAATATTTGTAAAATGGTAAAAAGGTTTTTCGTATTATACAAATTAAGAAATAGATATTTGTTTTTGAAGTTGATTTAAGGTTAAATTTACAAAAAATTTAAATAGTATTGGTTAAAGACCCATCTTTAAAACATACAAATAAACTGCTTATTTTTAACTAGAAACTAGAAAAAAAATTAACATAATTTTAAATGGAAAATGTATTTTATATATAAACAAATTGCATTTTTTATTAAACTGTGTTGCAGTTTTATATTGAGATACTTGTGGGTTATTCTCCTGCATGTCATATCACATACTGTGTATCTCACTCGTCTCGCATATCCATCATTTGCTTATGAAATGATGTACAGAAGTTTGAGTGACCAATGAAATAATTAAATTTCACACACAGATATTGAAAGATATTATCTTAATTATAACATTAAAAAAATATTTTTTTATTTATAAAATCAGAATAACTACTGTTTAAGAAACCAAACATATACCATACAATAATGTGCATATTAGCGCACATTACATCGTCTTTGATTTAAGAATTTGTGTTGTCAGGACATTTTATGGAGAATGGATTATTCATTCAATATTCAGAATTTGCCTAAGCCTGAAATTGATCTTGTTCATATTTTTCAGGAATATGGTATTACTTTCTGAAAGCTTTTGCAAAAATGGTATTAAAATGAAGTTATATTTAGTGTAAAAAATCTAAAATGTAGGTGTGATGTTGGTATACAGACAAATATATGGAAAATGCATAGATTCAACATGGCATCAAAGTACAAAAAAGGCATAAAATTCAACATAGAACATCATGAAAACATCTAAATTGATATAGTGCTGAATTCAGAGATCATTTCAAATAGAAAATAAGTTTCATAAACTACTGAAAACTATTAGATAAAATGTGACCAGCTGATTAAACCAATACTTAGAGAATTGATACAATTGAATTTATTACATTTTAATATCATACAAGTATTAAGAATTGAAAGAATCTATATATATTTTATAACAAAATGTCTATATTATTTTTATTTTTTAATAAAGTATTTGATTATTTGAGTATAAAACAAAGTAACTTGTGAAAGTGGCAAATTTAAATTTCTATTTTTGGATGGCGCACTGTTTTGACTGTTTCAAAAGTAGTGCAACATGCAGCACAATGAAGACAGATTGGAGGATAACCCAACAGAATCTTTTTATTTAAAGTATCCTTATAAAACACTTAAAAAATATTTCATTGTTATTTAATGGGAATAATTTTTAACATTGAGTAATAAAATAAGTCTATAATTATATTCATTTTTTAAGGCTTTCAAGACAAAAAAATTTTAACCATTTTAATTTGAACTGTTACTAATGTCATGGTTTTAATTATTCCACTTTTCACAATTTAACTCTTACTTATTAAAATACCTATTTTTCTATTGTTTTTTGACATTGCTTTTTCTGCTAAGTCCTCTTAATATTTTTTTATTTTTGTAATTACTCATCAGTTTTTTAATCTGCTAACTACTAAGAATGTGATTCTTTCTGTAGCTGCTTATATCACAATGCTTTTGCTATCCATGTAATTTTTTACTTCTTTGGTTAAATACAATTTCAAGAGCCAAAATCCAGAAAAAACTGTAGCAAATCACAACTGTAATCCACATGATCACTCATGTAATGAAATATAATGTGTTTACTCAGCATTAATAGAATTACTTTAATAAAAGAATATTAATACATATTGCCAAGTTTCAAGCTTAGTATTAAAACAAAATATGTAATAAAAGTAAAATTTTCCAATATTTAAGTTGTTGCTACATTTAAATGAATCATAGTTGTTATATTTTTTTGTTTTAAAATGTTATTTATCATAGTAAGGATCAAACAGTTATGTCTTAAATGAAATTGGATAAACAGACTTAAAAATTTTTCAAACTTTTTCAGCTAACTAAATTTAATAAACTTTAATCTTTATTTTAATTATCATTTTCTTGCAGAATAAACAAAAGATATTTACAGATAGAGTCAAGGATTTTCATACAATAGATGCATATAGAGAAAATCACAAACATGAAAATATATTGTCAATATTACAGAAATCAATTACTGTTGAAACAACTATACATCCAATGCTTGGTTCAACATACTTTTTTGAATTTGAACTAACTAATCCTTATCCTCGAGAACATAGGATATTCATTGAATGCCAACATCCCAGTCTAAAGTAATTTGAAATATTTGATTAAGTAGTTGTAATTCTAAATATTGTAATAAAACTGTTGACTACATACAACAATTATTTCATCCATCTAGTGTTGTTTTCTGTACAGACGAATGGAAACATTTTCGACAGTTATGGAAAATTGAGGAATTTGTTGAAGAGAATTTCTTTAGTCAGTCAAATTTTCAAAAGGGAACTATGCCTCAATTATTTGTACGTCCTTATGAAAAAGTTAGAATTCCCTTTAAGTATCTTTCATTAAATAACATTGCTAAATGTGAGAGTTGGAAGGTAAATATCCATGTATTATTTAAATATTAATTATAAGTATTAAATTTTTAATAATTAATTTGTTTAAACAATTTTTTTAGGCTACATCTGGTCATATCTTCACAGCAGAAATGTTGACAAAGTATCCATTGTCTGATTATTTCAAGCCTTTCACAATAAAGGTTTTTCATCTAATAAATTTATTAATAACTAAATTAAATTTGATTAAATTTCAATAATACAGTTTGCTTGAAAAAATGTTTACACAAAAGTGAGTGTATGGATCCTGTAAACTATCAAATCAAATATATATTAACAATAATGGCAAACAAATGGAAATTCTTTGACTGTTAGCAAATGTTTCTTAACAATTTCAATCATGCTACAGTGTATTATCATTGTTTCCATTAAAAACAATTTCGCACGTGTTAAAATTCTTTTGAGGCACTGCTATAAAATTTTTCCTAGCATTGGACTTATCCTAAGAATTATATAAGTCAACATGATTTTAGGAAAAGTGTAATGCAAGGTAAGAATTTTTTTTTATTTAAAAAAGAGAATGTGGGAAATGAATGTGCCTTCTGTACATGTGCAGCTTGCCAAAATTTGCTCAGTTTATAAATTATAATGACAGAAGTTGGATAAGAATATAAATAAGTATTATTTTGTATGTTACGAATTATTCTTTTATTATTTATCTATGAATAACACCTTGTATATTTTTAAATTTAAATATATTTGATGTTTGTGTCTAAGAATGAAAAGTGATACTGTTGACTAAAATTCTTTCATATTAAATTACCATTCTAGGAATATGAGATATTAGGTAATATTTATGTAAAAATTATATAATGATTCTTCTTTATATATTTCCATTTCCTTTGTTAAAATTTACCTTTATTAAATTTTTAAAGACTAGTATAAATGCATCATAAAGCAAGTACACATATATATTTTAGCCATTAACTTTAAGTTGAATTTATAAAAACTACTGATGATTCTGTCTTACTGCACAAGAAATACAATAGGCTCTCAATTTAATGGACTGATTGGTGGAAGGTATGTCCATTATTGCCAAAAATTCATTTAAATTGAATGTTTTTTTTAAAATATATTAATAATGAACGTACAATGAACAAGATTTATAAAAATCCTATTATGTACATTGGCAAGTAGCGTATGCTAAAAGATGAGTCAGTCAAAAACAAAAGATTCAATAATCTATTGTATCAGTAAAATAGTTTATAGATAATTTGCATTTTATATGCTTATATATCTATATTATCTTAAAATTACATATCAAAACTGGTATGTAATTTTTTAATGAACATATTTAAAATTATTCCAGTCTTTCTTGTGAAAAAATTTTAAAAAATGTTCTAAAATATCCATGAAAGATTCAAAACATCCAAACTGGAAATCAACTCTGAAGATAGCAAATTCTGAAAGTATTTAGTTGAAAAGAAAAAAAAATGTAATAGGTAGAACTGTATTAAGCAGTTTTGGCATGTTTTTTATTGTGACGGACTAAAATAATTCATATTCAAAATTATTTTGCATTTCTGATGTATGGTATTTCTGCACGCCATTAATCATCAGTTAGACATCTATATTCAATTATTCTGATTACTCTGTATAAATATAGCATGTGAGAAAATGAAGGAATATTATAGTTGTTTGTTTAATTTCTTATTAGTATAAAATTAAATATATCTATCCATTATTAAGAAGAATAGTAGTAAAATATAAAGAATATTAAACTTGATTTTAAAATCAACTTTTCTTTATTATGATAGGTTAATTTCAAAACTGAAGATGCTAAACTTATTTATATTTTAAACATAAATATTCAGCCAGTACCGCCAAACATACAACAAAGCTTTTATTTTCTAGTTTCTGAAAATGCATTTTTAAATCGACGAATAAGAATATCAAAGAGTAATATTTTTACACATGTATTTTTTTTATTAGAAAATGTTTTTAATTTATAGTTTGATAAACATTTTTTTTTTAATTTTCATTTTTACAGGAATTATAACCTTAATTAACAGAAAACATTTTTCTCAAATAAATATTCTGTGTTCTGACAATAATGTTATTTGTGGCGTTCAACGGTCTGAGAATATTAAGGATCAGATTGATATATATTTTAAGGTAATAGTAAATTTATCAATTATAATGATAGACAAAATCTTAATTTATAATTTCAGTCTTATTTTATATAAAATTTTAATAAATAAAATATTTTTGAAATAAGTAAGGTTGGTTGTGGCTCACTATAAACATTTTATAAATAATTAAATATAGATTTTCTACATGATGTTACTCTTTCTAATTATGCTTGTTCCATGACTGTTACAGACAGTGTAGTAGATATTTAATCTGTGTGATTATGTAGTGATAAGTTTGTCTGCAGTATGTTCAGAAGGGGACAAGAGGTTAGGTAACACATCTGCATCTTCCACATATGAAAATTGAGTCTTGCTTTGCTCTGGATCAATCTTTCTCCTGTTCGTCTAAATAATTTAATTGAATTTGTAATTATTATGACTATAAGATAGCAGACTAACCTTTTTGGGCTAAATTCGTAGCGTAATCAATCTTTTTATGATCTGATAATCACCCAGTTAGTTACTTCTTAACTGAGGAATCTTGATATATGTTAGCTGTATGCTATTTATACTAATTCAATTCTTTTATGACTAATTGCAATATTTGTTATAAGATAATTGTCAATGACAGTCTCTTGAATCTAGATATAAAAATGTTTCATTGAGTACACCTTAATAGTATAAAACATTTTGTATCATTGAGTCACAAAAAGTATACAGTAGTTGTTTATTCCTTGTTGTGCTATATTTTTCATAATAAATTAAATATTAAATATATATTTTTAAGAAATACATAAATAATTGAAAGAAATGAATAACTGATGAATGATGTAGCAAAGATTTTTTTAACAAATAATATAATTCAATAAATGTTTTGATAGACTAGAATATGGAGCCAAATATAGCAAAAGATTTTTTATTCAATGATTAAACCGAGTATAAGAGTTTGTCCATGAAATATATATTTGATCCAATTTTATAGAATATCAGTCAAAATTAATCTTTTACAATCTTTATCTACATATTAAAGAGTGCATGCAAACTGTACATATTCTAACATATAGTTTGTATACACACTTTTTAATGAAACTTCTGTGTTATCCCACTAAAAATTAGTTTTAGGGTCTTTTTGAATGGTTTAGTTGCTCCAATTTGAGCTCTGTCTTCAATGTTAATTATGAATAAAACAAACAGAAATTTCAGGAAACAAATTTGTGTCTATTGCAGCAAGTCAATGAAACTGTTCATATTGTTCTGCATTCTTTATACTGTTATGGATGTAATAGTTGGAAAAAAGTAAAAACTCTAAATTTATAAAGATATATATCATTTTTTTATTTTGGGAATATATCCTTAGTTAATCTATGTAAAAACAATTTGCTGTATATGATTTCACTTTATGTAATTCAAGGAATATCAGTATTAAAAAGTGCAATTTATATACAGAACTGATACTCTGCAGAATATCTATAGCAGAAATTTTCAAGATATCCAAAGAGTATCAGTTATGTATATAAATTTTGTTTTTTTTTTAGTATTTCTTGCATTATTATAGAGTGAAATCACATGTGGGGCCGAGGGGGAGAGAAATTTATAAACATAATTAACGATAATATGTGATATATATCGTTGTTGTCTCCATTACCGTCTGGACTGCCGAGCGGTAACAATCAATGGCATGTGGAAACAGTTGAGTCAGAGATAGATGCCTCGTTTACAAACAACACAACCGTTTTATTAAACATGAAAGAAGCTTACAAGATTTCCGCGATCTTGGAAGTTCTACGGCAGCTGCGGCCTCTGGGTCTTCCTCTCCTTTCCAAGCTAGTCCCATTTTGGAGTGTCCCTTGTTCGCAAATGAACAATTCCATCGACGTCTCGACGATTCCTAGACGATGCAGTCGATTTTCGTTGATGGAAAGATGTCGATCCGAGGTCGGGAGATGGTGACGAAGATGGGTGTGAGACACACAACAATAGATCCGTCACTTGGAACTTTCGGGAGAAGAAGCCATTGCGTCCTTGAATGTCCGGAGTTTTATCCATTTTCCTCCAATTCTCCTTTCTGATTGGTCTCTCCTCATCACCTGATGACAATTTGAAACCTTTTGGGGGTGTGGGAGAGGTCAAAATCGAAGTTTAATTCGATCTGCAACCAGAAATGGTCGACAGACTTACATTCTTCTGTTGTTTAAATGTTAGCATCGCATTTTCATTAAAAAAAAATCTATTTCTTAACTACTATAGTTTTTCTATAAAAAAATTATTTTAACACTAATTTTAATGAGGGTTCGGACCTGTCCAGAGTCTCACACATACAGCAAATTGTTTTCACAAAGATAATTTTTAAATTAAAATATTTGACAAAATTTTTACATTAAATATTTGTACAGGCAGCTTGTGGTGAAGCAGGAATCGAAAGAAGATTCTATCTCTTTTTGTATGACAATCCTTTTATGAGTAAACCCATCCATACTTGGCTTATTGAAACTCTTACAGTGCAAAGAATAGATATATCTTGTCCTATGGGACAGTGTGTTCAATCTTCAGTAGTTCTCAAGTAAGTTTTTTTTAATCTGTCAATAGTATTAATGCTAAAGTGACCAGACAATTTATTTTGCAATTATAAACATAACGTATAATAGTCCCAATTGTCCAACATAATACAGACCAAAATATATTAGATAATACAGAATGTTTAGTAAATTAATGCATCCAAATCTAGTTTCCTTAATAAAGTGTGCAATATTCTCTACTTTTAGATTAAAACTTGTGTGGAATTTGAAATGGGCTCTACATCATATAGTCAGTGAACCACACTGTGCAATGTTCTGTCATCTTTGTTAACAGATTTCTTTCATAATTCAGCTTGGATATTGTGGAAATTTGGTTAAGTCGGTCTTTATACTGTGTTTAAAAAAAATTTATTTTTAGAACTGTTCAAATGTCTTGTTTCTAACACCATTTTAAATCAGAGCACAACAGGTATTGAACAGATTTAAAATTCTACATATAAAAAATAATAAGATTAAAATACAGAATAATGTTTTGGTAAATATTTAACAATTTAATAATAATCATTCAAATTTTACTTAATTTGAAAACTAACATACAAATTTTAAAAATATGCACTTATGTTATCTTATATGGGTGTCCAGAAAGTTTGTGCTTTTTAAATTGCAATAACATTATTCTAGTTTTAATCTTAAATAGAACAAAACTCTTTTTTGAGTATACTAAACACATCTGAAGATGTGTTTAAATGAAATTAATGCTGTAATTAAGAGTGAAGTTTTAAAACAAACTGTATTTTTAATATCTTTTTTCAATTGGATTTTCTTTACAAAGTATATGGCTTGTACAGTACATATTGAACTATTGGAATTAAATTAGATATTTATTATTCATTCTTTTGGTCCATAAAACTTGAGAATTATTATCCCTAAGCATTAAACAGATTATTGATGCAGTTTTAGTGTGCAAAGAACTTTGTGTATACCACCATATCAAGAGTGATAGATCAGAAGGGAATGCAAACCAAAATGTAAATTCTTCTGGAGAAAGAAGAAACAATTAAGAAATTTTGAAAATGCTGTTTTATTTTACAATGTTTTTTCTGTGCAAAAGTTTAACAACCTTAATCAGATGCAATTTGTTTTGATAGGAGCCAAATAATAAATTTGACAAATACACCTTTCTGGCCTATTATCCCTTATATTTGATAGGATTCAAAAGTTTGAGGACTTGGTGTATAGTTCCTTCTGTTGAATAGTTTAAAATACTGATGCACAACCACTTTCACACAAATCCCCTACTACCTCCTGTGATGTTGCTTTTACCTCATTAAATGACTCAGCCTGAAATCATTGAGTCATCAAATGAGGTAAAAGCAGCATCACAGGATGTATTATAGGTGGTTACAAAAGATGGCTTGAAGCAGCTGTATGAGTGCTGGAAAAAGTGTATTAGTGTTCAAGGGGATTGCTTTGAAGGTTGTGCATCAGTGTTCAAGGAACTACACACCAAGTACTCAAACTTTTGGATCCCACTTTGTATGTATGTTAAATTTTTCATATATATTTAATTTATGAAAGCTAAATTCATTTTTAGGGGTGCAGATGAAACACACTTAGTCCAGTGTTTCACTTCTCATCCGACAGAGCTGCAGTTGTTTCCAAATGGTTATTTTACGTTATCAGCAAACACATTTCAAGAATTACAACTTATTGCCAAATCAGATTTACCAGGCACAAAGTATGTATATAAAACTAATTTCTTTCCTTTCTTTATGTGAATTGTAATTAAAAATTTTTTTATAGAAAAATCTATGTAAACCTAGTCAATATGGAATTCTATAGTTTAATGAAAACTTGGCTTATTGTTCTAATGTGTCAAAGGCCAACAATCACAAAATCATATCAAGTGCAATTATCAATAACCAGTCAGGACATTGCCATAAAGGTAATACTTACATTGTAATATTTATTAAATTAATTAATTATAGATTTTTATTTTAAAATAATTGTTTTTTAGAGAATCACATATTCCAATCAATATAATTATCCAAAAACATACTTGGTTTCAAGCAGTCATCCACAACTACTGCAATTGGCAGAACAGAAATTCAGCATCGAACCTAGAAAAAACTATTCTTTGGGACTCTTATTTTTCCCTCAACATAAACCAATGTCCGAAGAAATATTTATTTTCGTAAATAATTTAGAAGGGAAAAATGAAGAAACATTTTCCATCAGAATGATTGTTTCTTAACCATTTTATATAAATTGTAAATAATACTAAATTATTAAAATTTTTCTATTTATTTATAACCAATTCTTTTTGCATTTTGATACTTTATGAAATCTGCCTAACATATTTCAGTTTACTGTTGAAACTGATAATCCTATTAAACTTATAACAACCAAAATAATTTTGATGTACTATTTTCTGATCCTAAAAGATTATCATGATATACTGCTTTACTTTTATATGTAAGAACCATTAGTCAAATTCAAAACACATTGTTTATTGACTAACCTACTTTTGCATATTTGTAAACTTTTAGACTTATATTTAGTAGTAATAACTACTCTTCCATTGGAAATCATTGCATCGTCTTTGACCATTATGTGGCTTTTTTAATACTCCTTGTGATGGTTGCTATGTTCTACAAAGCTCATTTTGGCCAAAATTGTAGAGGTGAATCAAGCAACAACTATACACACAAGTAACTGTTGTTGCTGAGGCAGGGATAGATGGACTCAAGATGTTCCTACTTCATGTTGCTCTACTTGAGTTTCATTGATTCTTCTAGTTGTTTTTTTATGAATATTTATTTATAATGTAAATGAAAAAAGCAAAACTATTTTATCTTAGAATCTGGTTCAGATCAATGACATGTTTTTTTCACTCTAAATAGACTTATGCTTCAGCCAGTGTTACATGAAGTTTTCATAACAGCTGAAGAATTACTTTTTATCTATATCTAGTATTAGGATGATTGGCCACATTCAGTGGTATGGCCAATAGGGAAAGGGAGAACCTCAGGTGCCCTGTTTCATTTATTAAACCATATATTTTTTAGTAAAGTCCTGTGCAGGGGTGTGCATTAAGAACTAATATTTATTTATTTATTTATTGGTATTATGGTTAAAAATTTTTGTTTTGTTTAAAAGTTCCAACTCAACTATTGCTGTATTTTGTGTTTTTTATTCCTATGAAACCTCTTTATACTTGTAAAAAAGAAAGTCTCCTTGGTTAAGCTACTGAGCATATTACATGGTACCTGTACATAAGATGATAAATGAAGAGTATTTGAATTCCTATCCCTTTCTGTTGTCATCATAAAACAAGGTTCAGGTCTAAAATACTTCCTTTATTCATGGAGTTATCACAATCATTTGTAATAAATTAATTGAAGATGGTTATACATTATTACTGAAGAATCTCCAATTTAAATGATATTTACAAAGTAGAATAGAATTAGATATATGGTAGGGACTTCTTTTCCTCTAAATTCTATTTTATAATTCATATTCACATACCATACATTGTTTATTTCTAATATTGTAAAAATAAGATTATTTGATTTAAAATCATGATTATAAGAGTGCTCACTCTAACCTCAATTGTTGATACTTCAATTATACACAATATATTGTTCTGTTTGGAATCAATAATTTGGTTTTTTATCTCTTCTGTGTCTTGTAGTATTGCAGCTAACTGTTTTTCTAATGACAAGCTCCTTACAAGTCTTTTATAAAATTGGCTCACATCAAAATATTATTCAGATATTTATCTAACAAATTCAACTGAACAAATTTTTGCAATGTGGTTTTGCTCATTCTATTGATATATAGTGCAAGAGAAAAATAAAAAACGAGAATTTTTTCTATAAAACTTAATAATTTATATATCTTGTAAAGCACAAAGCTCTAAATCTCATTATAAGCAACATTACAATTATATGCTCATTTTATTTTTTGTTACAACAGTTAATTATTATATTATAGATTTATCATAAAGAATTAATTAAAATGCAAACATGCAAATTTTAACTGCATAATCTTTCAACAGCAATAATTTGTATTTGCTTATGCTTAGAAATAATTTTACTATTTTATGAAGAAAATTTTTAGCTTATGAGATAAGAAAAAAAAATGCTGAAATTGTAAACATGATACGATAAGATTATTATAAACTGAATTATATGTTGTTCATACAATTTAGTCTATGATAAAATTGGTTTTGTTTTGCATCTTTTTGCTTAATGTTGCAGTTTTCAAGAACCTGTTGATGACATTAAGCAAGAACTTGCTGTAGAGTACATATTATGTTTGTATCGTGCATTTTTATCTGTTCTCTGCCGAAATGCATCTCGGCAGAGAACGGATTAAAGGCCTTGTGTTGATTGTGCTGCACTTCATTGTGTGATAAAACCAAATAATTTGAATCAGTGTCTGCCTTTCTAAGAAGTACAGTACATATGTTGCTTTAAAGCATTGTATAACATTTGACATATGATTGAGCTAAATATAACTTTATTATTCATTTTCACTTTATAAATGACATAAACCTTAAATTCAGGAATGTTCTCACAGATAAAGGGTTTTTAGATTAGTTTTCAAATCTCAAGCAAAATATAATTGTCTAAACCTCGTATATTTTATTCTTTTCCTCTAATGAATATTGAGACAAGTTTTTGCCACTTATTTGGCACCAAAACAAAACTTCTGAAACTTCAACACAGACTAGAATTTGAGTTTCTTGGAGAAGCAGGCAATGTCTCTTGTGAAACAAAGCTAGTATTTACATAATTTCTCTTATCGATCACAATAAGATTGATTGATTTTTTATTACTTATAATTGAAAAAAAATTTGATCATCAATGGTACAATAGACAGCCAAAATTTGATCTTTTAAATTATCATACAACAAAAAACTACATTTCTGTACTCAATATCAGATATGTTACTTGCAATTAAATTTTTTTTATAGATTTCAGTAATTATCATCAGATTTAGGTTCATTAATGCAATATGTGTGCGAGATATTTAAGAATATTAATCTTGTCTAAGTTTTAAATTCTACATTATTGGAAAAATCCTTTCATATTCTAAAATTTTTCATTGAATAACATGATCAAAACTGCAATAATTTTTAAGTGAAATGTTTTTGGATCTCTCTTATCATTTATATATTAATGCAATATCTACTTCTAAAAATAAATCTAAACTTATTTAAACACACAACATTCCTAAAGCTAATAAATTTATCTTTCAATGAGATTCATTAGTAAATTACTAATGATTACAATACTTAATATCCAGTGTCTATAATAAATTATTTAGAAAGTTCTCCACTAGTTTAATGAAATGTTAACCAAAACTAAAATTTGAGTTTAAATAATTAAATTCATAAACTGCTTACTTCAATATTAACTTACAATAAAAGTTGATATAACCCCTAAAATGAGCAATATATTTGATATCTTTCATCTAATAGATACTAAGATTGTTCATTTGAAATCATTGTACTGTACATTGTCAAATTCACAACATACATCTTAAAAATAAATATAACAGCACATTACATAAAACACTTACTTAAAAAAAATAACAATAGTATATTTTGTCAAATCTTCACAAATACATTTGAAGGATAAATTTGTCATATTATACACATTTAACATAATCTTGTTTTGCTGAATACTATATGAGAGAAATGGTGCCTTAATGGAGCAAGACATTCTTCGTGTTGAATCTGTAATAATTTAAGCAGATAAGCTTTATTTATTTTTGAAATAGCCTATTTAAATATTTTGTTTAAATCTGGATTTAGCCTAGTTATTCATATTATAATATACACTCTTGACACTATATACAGTAGAACCCCAATTATCCAAAGCTAACCTGTATGATAATACACATGTTTATTCTTATTATTATTGTATTGCATCTACAATACAATAATATTAATCAACAATTTTTTTACACATTTTTAATATATATGTGTATTTTTCTTGTGATTAAATTCACTAAGGTACAAAAAGAAGCATGAAAATTTTACCATTATAAATCTTAGACTTCCATTACCATTACGAATGTGTGTCATCTGAATTTTCAGTTATCTGAAGCAGCATTGGTTCACATTAGACTTTATCCAAGGTAAAGGTAAATAATGTTTACCTACCATATTTAATTAATCAAGTCTACATACTTTGGATAATCATGGTATGATATGGCAAAGTAATCACCTTGGATATATAGGCTGGCAAATTTAATATGAGTACAGTTAATAGAAAGAAGTGAATTAAATATGCATTGGTCAATGAAATAACTTATAAAACTTCTGAAAGTTAACTATTAAATCCTAAGCCCAATCTAACATGTTGAAAGTTATTTGTGTATCTCAAATTCTAATTTTCTCATTTAAAAACATTTAGAACAAGGAGTCCTTTATAGCATAAAGTGCACTGAGGCAACAAGGTATAATGTATAGCCCTCCCTATTTGTGGCCTAACCAGAGAATGAACAAAATGACTGTCCTGAGATCACCTGTACCATTCGAAAGAACCTAGATCCAAAGTTCTAATATTGAGATTTGAATCTAGCTTTTCCACTTAATAAATTTTTAAATTTTTTCATTCTCATTGGCTCATGGTGATCTACATGCATGGCAGCATACTATTTTTTTTTTTTTTTTTAATCTGTTTGAAAATGACGATTATAGAGTCTAAGATATTTTTGCATTTCTACTTCAGCGTAGAAGTATGAATTTCTTTTAATTCCAGAATAAAAGTGAATAAGAATGCCATAACATATGTACTGTATGCATTAAAATTACAAAAATATATTTAATCATAAAAACAAAATTTTGAACTTACCAAATTAAACCACCTTGAAACATTAGAATATAACTGTTTTTCCTTGAAATCTAATTTTTTCTGAAATAAGAATATATTTTTACAAATAAATTAGTTAAATTAGTTTATATTCTAATTATTAGTTTGCAGTAATTTTTCTAAAGTGTCATTAAAGTTAAAATCCAATCTTGTTAAATGAATAACCAGTTTTAAAATCAAGATAATAAAATAATCCAAAAGGTATAAAAATTAATATATTCAAACTAAAAGACTGATTTGTTAATATGAAGTACCAGGATACGGACACTATTGTGGCCAGTTTTATAGTGACAATTATGGTTGAAACCAATCCACAATATGGTTGACCAGCAGCATAGATAAGGGAAGAGGAACAAAATGCTAACCTGTATTACCAACAATAAATTGTCTATGGATCAGATTTGAACCAGATATTAGAATTTAGTTTATTTTTAATAGCTAGATAACAGAAATTATTTTTTTCCTCCATTCTAAGATGCACCATGGATTTGAAAGTCTATTTTTGTATAGGAAAAAAAAAATTTTTTTAAACAACACTAATTATTCTAATAAAATTGCCATAAAACAGGTCTGGCAATCTTTTCATTTCCTTCTGTTACACAATAATTTTCCTTTTTAATGCTGTATCAAAGTATTTGTGTTGAGCAGTATAGTGAAAATATCTATTGGCACAAAGCATATACATGATCACAATGCAATTTGAAAGTTTTTTACATAATTTACAAAATAAATTCTCAGGTATCAGAATATATATATATAACTTCTAGACAAAAAATTAGAATATTCATGTAACTGAAAGTTTAGTGTACATTTTCTCATGAACAGCAGAGTACAAAACTTTTTTCGACTCTACATAAACAGTGCTTATGTATATTTATTATATCCATTAATCAGACAAATTAACTCAAACATTTTTTTTGTTATAAATGGAAATGAAATGACAAAAAAACAGAATAAGTTTGACCATAACAAAAAATTAGATTATTACCTAAAACAACCATAAAAAAACTCAATTGTAATGCAAATTCGCATATTGATGGGCAGAGTAGTACAACATGGGGCATAAGTGTGACATCAGTGACAGAATGAAAGATACTATCATAGCCTTGCACAAAGCAGGAAGAACAAAAAGAAATTAAAGTGCTTGCAGCCAACATTCATAAGTCTTTAGAGTACTGAAACAACAAAACAGTGTTCAAGTTTTAACTACGTTCACATTTCTAGCATTTGTTAAACAAGCAACAAGTGCAAGGGATGAGAGAAACTTGAGAAGGATTGCCGTGCAAAACCACTTTAAAAGCATTAAACACTTGCTCTCCATTGTGCATGCAACTGGAGTGAACATTAGTAGCTGAACCACATGCCGAAGGTTGCACGACTTGCACTTCAACTGCCATGTTCCCAAGACAAAGCCATCTCTAACAAAAGCACGGCAACAAGTGCATGTCAGATGGTGCAGAGAGGGGCTCATGGGAACAAGATGACTGGAATAACGTTCTCTTCAGTGACAAATCCCTGTTTTGTCTTTCCTGTGGTGACCAAGGCCCAAGTGTATGGAGAAGAACCAAAGAGGCCTTTGAAAAGGACTGTATGAAAAGATTCATGAAGTTTATCATCATCCATCATGCATGAGTGCTAATGGCGTAGGACAACTGTGCATTCTTCGGAAACATGTCAATGCACAAACATATCAAAACATCTTAGAGACATGATATCATCAGCAGAGGATTTAGTTGAAGAAACATTTCTATTTCAACATGATGGGGGCACCCTCACATACCGTGAAGTCAATGATATGTTGGTTACAAAAACGAAAAATTGCAATCCTGCCTTGGCCAAGCAATTCCTCAGACTTACACCCTATTGAAAATTTGTGGGGTCATGAAACAGACTTAACAAACGTTACCCAACTTCTAAAGAGGAATTAGTGACATGCATTTGACACATTTGGAACTGCACCACCAGAAACAAATGTGAAACATTAATCCACACCATGCCTGACAGATTGCGATACCACAAAATATTAAGTTTTTGTTGTATTTCCTATATTTAACCCACATTTAGTTAATATTCTAATTTTTTATCATGGTCAAACTGTTACGACAATGAAATGACAAGAAAAATTAACTCAAACATTCTGTTACAAATTCTATTGTCTGATTTAATGGATATAATAAACAGTGCTTATGTATGTTTGTAGTATTGAAAAAAATTTTTGTACTCTGTGCTGTTCATGAGAAAATGTACACTAAACTTTCGTCTAGAAGTTGTAATTAAAAATAAAATTAGTCCAGAATTTTTTTAAATGTTTATATAAGATGATGATTATTGGATTCTACATTTAACTTATGGAGAGAAATGCAAACTAAAAGCTTGTACATAAATATCCAGAAACNTATATTTATTATATCCATTAATCAGACAAATTAACTCAAACATTTTTTTTGTTATAAATGGAAATGAAATGACAAAAAAACAGAATAAGTTTGACCATGACAAAAAATTAGATTATTACCTAAAACAACCATAAAAAAACTCAATTGTAATGCAAATTTGTATATTGATGGGCAGAGTAGTACAACATGGGGCATAAGTGTGACATCAGTGACAGAACGAAAGATACTATCATAGCCTTGCACAAAGCAGGAAGAACACAAAAAGAAATTAAAGTGCTTGCAGCCAACATTCATAAGTCTCTAGAGTACTGAAACAACAAAACAGTGTTCAAGTTTTAACTACGTCCACATTTCTAGCATTTGTTAAACAAGCAACGACTGCAAGGGATGAGAGAAATTTGAGAAGGATTGACGTGCAAAACCACTTTAAAAGCATTAAACACTTGCTCTCCATTGTGCATGCAACTGGAGTGAACGTTAGTAGCTGAACCACATGCCGAAGGTTTCACAACTTGCACTTCAACTGCCATGTTCCCAAGACAAAGCCATCTCTAACAAAAGCACGGCAACAAGTGCATGTCAGATGGTGCAGAGAGGGGCTCACGGGAACAAGATGATTGGAATAACGTTCTCTTCAGTGACAAATCCGTTTTGTCTTTCCTGTGGTGACCAAGGCCCAAGTGTATGGAGAACAACCAAAGAGGCCTTTGAAAAGGACTGTATGAAAAGATCCATGAAGTTTTCATCATCCATCATGCATGAGTGCTAATGGCGTAGGACAACTGTGCATTCTTTGGAAACATGTCAATGCACAAACATATCAAAACATCTTAGAGACATGATATCATCAGCAGAGGATTTAGTTGAAGAAACATTTCTATTTCAACATGATGGGGGCACCCTCACATACCGTGAAGTCAATGATATGTTGGTTACAAAAACGAAAAATTGCAATCCTGCCTTGGCCAAGCAATTCCTCAGACTTACACCCTATTGAAAATTTGTGGGGTCATGAAACAGACTTAACAAACGTTACCCAACTTCTAAAGAGGAATTAGTGATGTGCATTTGACACATTTGGAACTGCACCACCAGAAACAAATGTGAAACATTAATCCACACCATGCCTGACAGATTGCGATACCACAAAATATTAAGTTTTTGTTGTATTTCCTATATTTAACCCACATTTAGTTAATATTCTAATTTTTTATCATGGTCAAACTGTTACGACAATGAAATGACAAGAAAAATTAACTCAAACATTCTGTTACAAATTCTATTGTCTGATTTAATGGATATAATAAACAGTGCTTATGTATGTTTGTAGTATTGAAAAAAATTTTTGTACTCTGTGCTGTTCATGAGAAAATGTACACTAAACTTTCGTCTAGAAGTTGTAATTAAAAATAAAATTAGTCCAGAATTTTTTAAAATGTTTATATAAGATGATGATTATTGGATTCTACATTTAACTTATGGAGAGAAATGCAAACTAAAAGCTTGTACATAAATATCCAGAAACAAATATCTGACTGAACAGAAAGTTCTTGCACTTCTTGGAACTTTCTAGGATAACTTTTTTCTGGAACACACTAGAATGTTCCATGGTAGTATATAAATAGGTTGGGGTACGTGCTATAAGTACCAAATCCAGTCCTCTCACTCTACTTTACCATGACCAACCAACATCTGCTAACCAAAGAGCAAGTTAACCTGCTCCTCGTTTATGACTATTGTTCCAAAAAAAAAAAAAAACAGCCAATTCTATCACTGATATCAATGCTGTATTAGGCCTGGACACTGTCACCAGAAGAACTGCATATGATTGGTACAAACGCTTCAAAAATGAAGATCCCTAACCCAAGAAGATCATGTTCTCTGTCTTCTGGGATTCTAAAGGAATCATCATGTTCAATTTCTGCCACAAAATATAACCATCAACACAACTTTCTACTGCGAAGAACTCGACGTCTGCAGCAGAAACTGGCGGAGACCCACCCAGAACACCCCATCCTGCTGCATAATAATGCATGGCCACATACAGCTAGGCAGNATGAGAAAATGTACACTAAACTTTCGTCTAGAAGTTGTAATTAAAAATAAAATTAGTCCAGAATTTTTTTAAATGTTTATATAAGATGATGATTATTGGATTCTACATTTAACTTATGGAGAGTAATGCAAACTAAAAGCTTGTACATAAATATCCAGAAGTAAATATCTGACTAAACAGAAAGTTCTTGCACTTTTTGGAACTTTATAGAATAACTTTTTTCTGGAACACACTAGAATGTTCCATAGTAGTATATAAATAGGTTGGGGTACGTGCTATAAGAAAGTACCAAATCCAGTCCTCTCACTCTACCATGACCAACCAACATCCGCTAACCAAAGAACAAGTTAACCTGCTCCTCGTTTATGACTATTGTTCCAAACAAAAAAAAAAGCAGCCAATTCTATCACTGACATCAATGCTGTATTAGGCCTGGGCACTGTCGCCAGAAGAACTGCATATGATTGGTACAAACGCTTCAAAAATGGAGATCCCTAACCCAAGAAGATCATGTTCTCTGTCTTCTGGGATTCTAAAGAAATCATCATGTTCGAGTTCTGCCACAAAATATAACCATCAACACAACTTTCTACTGCAAAGAACTCGACGTCTGCAGCAGAAACTGGCGAAGACCCGTCCAGAACACCCTATCTTGCTGCATAACAATGCACGGCCACATACAGCTAGGCAGACCTGCCATAAGAAACTGGACCTGAACTGGGAGGTCTTGCCCCACCCGCCATATAGCCCTGACATTGAACCTTCAGGTTACCACCTGTTCACCACGCTCGACCATCACCTGGCTGGAAAGGAGTTCAACAATGAAGCCGACTTGGAGGCCAGCCTGACCAACTTCTTTGATCGCAGCCACCAGAGTTTTATTAAGATGACATCCATTCCTTGCATAAACGTTGGCAGGAAGTGGTCAACAACAATGGTGATTACATTGATGATTGAACAGAAAGTTCTTGCACTTTTGGACGTATTTCATTTAGCCAAGAAAATTTTATGTACAGAATTGACTTCAATCAGATATTTGTTAAAATTTTATTTTTTAATCTCAGTTTAAACACAATTGAGAATCTATAGTGTTTGAATTAATTATTTCATGCATCTTATTAATTGCCAACTCCATAGTTATCATCAGGAAAAATAAACATCCAACTTCTATACCTTTACATACATTGTATATTGACAATAATACAGTCGACCCACCCTGTAACACTTGATTATTCCATTTTATATGAATTCCATCTTGTATGAGTGACTTAGATTTTACAAATACCAGGCTGTGTGAACAGCTCATGTATTTGTTGTATGAGTCACTTAGATATAAAATGGAATTATCAACAGTGTTATGGGGGGGTCGACTGTAATAATGAAATGTATTATTAAATATATTATTAATACAGTAAAACCTCAATTTTACAGATTACTTAAGGGATTAATTTAATGGACACCACCTCACTTGAATTAAAGCCAAAAGTTCATTAGATGCTAAACATCTATTTGGAAAACCTACTTTAACTAATTTGTCAATTTTTTACTTATGTAGATACATACATTTTAATTATACACAGTACATAAGCAATAATATACACATATATTTGTTTGTACTTGCTGTAATTCTTAGGTTGTAATAATCTAATTGAAATAAAAATTTTTTTAGAAAATATACTTGTTTTATTCATGTGCAGTGATGCTTGGATTTGAAATTTAAATTAACAACTTGTTAATTTAGTTACATATAAATAGCATTTTACAATAAATAACTGCTTGTTTATTTTGACATTGCTGGGTTGCAATTTTTAATTTAAAAATATATTCTCTCCACCTCAAATTAGTAATGGCTTGCCCCTGTAGATCATGCTTTTCCTCAGATGATCGGCACGACTACCATTAATCTTTTGGGAGAAAAATTTTTCAATTGAAATAACATGGCTTACAGTTTGTATTATATAGTTAATCGGGGGTCTCCTGCTCCTAAGGTTTCATCTATTTACCATATTTACTCGCATATAGGATGAGGCGTGATTTTATTAAATAATAAATCTAATTTTCTTTATTTTCATCTTTAAATGAAATAAAATTAGAATTGTAATCACAAATAAAATATCAACTGCATGTAAATGCACACATTGTCCCACAAAAATTAATAGCATTTTAAACTTCAAGGAAAAATCAACAACGTAATTTGTTCATGTAAAGCTGGACAATTGGGAAAGTTCTTTTTTGTCAATTCTTAGCATAGTCTAATTCACTCTTTGTCGATTAAACTTATGAGTTTTCACAAATTAAAAGACAAAGTCGTTCTAAAAATATATATTTCAGACGATTACCATTTTTACAGAGTGTTCTAGAACAAAGTACAGACAGCTGNTGCCATAAGCTACTGGACCTGAACTGCTGGCTGGCAAGGAGTTCAACAATGAAGCCAACTTGGAGGCCAGCCTGACCAACTTCTTTGATCACAGCCACCAGAGTTTTATTGAGATGACATCCATTCCTTGCATAAGCATTGGCAGGAAGTGGTCAACAACAATGGTGATTACATTGATGATTGAACAGAAAGTTCTTGCACTTTTGGATGCATTTCATTTAGCCAAGAAAATTTTATGTACAGAATTGACTTCAATCAGATATTTGTTAAAATTTTATTTTTTAATCTCAGTTTAAACACAATTGAGAATCTATAGTGTTTGAATTAATTATTTCATGCATCTTATTAATTGCCAACTCCATAGTTATCATCAGGAAAAATAAACATCCAACTTCTATACCTTTACATACATTGTATGTTGACAATAATACAGTCGACCCACCCTATAACACTTGATTATTCCGTTTTATATGAATTCAATCTTGTATGAGTGACTTAGATTTTACAAATACCAGGCTGTGAACAGCTCATGTATTTGTTGTATGAGTCACTTAGATTTTACATGGAATTCATATAAAGTGGAATTATCAACAGTGTTATGGGGGTCGACTGTAATAATGAAATGTATTATTAAATATATTATTAATACAGTAAAACCTCAATTTTACAGATTACTTAAGGGGTTAAATGAAATAAAATTAGAATTGTAATCACAAATAAAATATCAACTGCATGTAAATGCACACATTGTCCCACAAAAATTACTAGCATTATAAACTTCAAGGAAAAATCGACAACATAATTTGTTCACGTAAAGCCGGACAATTGGGAAAGTTCTTTTTTGTCAATTCTTAGCATAGTCTAATTCACTCATAAGTTTAATCGACAAAGAGTTTCTCCAAATTCTGATTTCCAAATAATCATGTTTTCACATGGGAATGGATTAAAACTTACATGGGAGCCCAATATAATTTTGGAATTCAATTCAAAAACTTTGCTTTTCCTATTGCTATTCATCTTTACTCCTGACAATACACAAGAATGATTCAAATGACCAAGATAAAATACTTTTGTTTTTAAACACCAGAAGGTGAGAATCCGGTAAAAATGTGAACACAGTTTACAAAAATTATTAAAAACGAAAAGAATCCTTTGCTCACACTTATAGGACAACCTAGATTTTTGAAGCAGTGAAAAATGAATAAAAATCTTGTCTTATATGCAAGTAAATATGGTAATTCCATTCTTGAGATTAAGGAAAGACAAACCCATAAATTCCCATCATCGTCTAAAATTTTTTCAAATTGCAGCCCAATTAACAGGGTGTTAATTTTCATGTATGATAACAGATAAAATTTTTGATCCTACAGATCAAGGTTTTACTGATAATTTTCTAAATTTATTAAAAATGATAGAAAATTCTATCCAAAGGTCACTTGTGAGAATCTAATTATTCTATGTGCCATCTACTATAGAAATTATGTTGAAATAAAAATCCGTCATTTTAGTTATAAACATTTTTGAGTATTTCTATAAAAACCATGTATTCAAAAATTCATACCTCTATGAATTTTGGCTCATGCTGTTTTATCACATTTAAGACCTTTTTTTCTGATCTTATTGCTAAATGAACTCAATTTTTCAAAATATCCTTACTTATGGAACTTAATTACCAACAGCAATATCATATATATGCATTTTGTATAATGATGCATACTAAAAATTTGTGTGTGGGTATACCTCACTTAACATGGGATTTGATTAATGTGTGAAGTGAAATTAACTGCGGCAATCCGTTAATTGAAATTCCCAATGCATATATAAAGTACAGAGCTGTTAAAGCAGTGTTAATGTAGATAGGTTTCTCTTGGCAAATAATGTGTTGCTGAATTTGCTATTTTTGTGCCAAGGGCAATTTATGATATGCAGTTTAATTTTGATAGTTATGAAATTTAACACATTACTGCTAATATGATATTGTATTCTTTGTTTAGAAACTTATTTTAAAACTTTAATTCACATTTTGTTTGTGTAAAATCAAATTGATATGTCTGCAGACAAAATGCATATGAGGCCTATTACGTATACATTTTAAGTTTTGTAAAGGATATAAGGCTATACAAACAATAAAAAAATACTCTTGGTGATGGGGGAAGATGCTCCTAAATGTCAAATGTAGTTTAGAAAGTATCATTTGGGAAATTTTGAACTAAAGAATACNCTTAATTATCAACAGCAATATCATATATATGCATTTTGTATAATGATGCATACTAAAAATTTGTGTGTGGGTATACCTCACTTAACATGGGATTTGATTAATGTGTGAAGTGAAATTAACTGCGGCAATCCGTTAATTGAAATTCCCAATGCATATATAAAGTACAGAGCTGTTAAAGCAGTGTTAATGTAGATAGGTTTCTCTTGGCAAATAATGTGTTGCTGAATTTGCTATTTTTGTGCCAAGGGCAATTTATGATATGTAGTTTAATTTTGATAGTTATGAAATTTAACACATTACTGCTAATATGATATTGTATTCTTTGTTTAGAAACTTATTTTAAAACTTTACTTCACATTTTGTTTGTGTAAAATCAAATTGAAATGTCTGCAGACAAAATGCATATGAGGCCTATTACGTATACATTTTAAGTTTTGTAAAGGATATAAGGCTATACAAACAATAAAAAAATACTCTTGGTGATGGGGGAAGATGCTCCTAAATGTCAAATGTAGTTTAGAAAGTATCATTTGGGAAATTTTGAACTAAAGAATACAAAATGTATGGGGGTACCCAAAAACTGTTTACAAAGAGAAATTTCAGGAAGAGATTGTCAAAAATCAACGAACAACAAATCTTTGTGTTAGTGACATGATGATTGTGTACCACATGCATCATTCAATTCTGATGAAAGTTAAATTAGTTTAACTGAAAGTAATAAGAATCATTTGTGTGTGTCTTGAAAGGCATTTTAATAACACCCATTTTATCACCCTATCCTTAATCTCTAAAAGTTTTTCCTGGGAAGAACTCAGAATATGTTTGATATCTATTACATAAATTACCATTTTAAATTATTTAAACTTTACTTACGTATATATTATGTAGTCCACAAAATAAAACTAAATCTGCTAATGATAATTTATTTCCGACAAAATATACTTTATTTTCAAGATGATGATTAAGTTCCTGAAATTAAAGAGAAAAAATATATAAATATTAATTAATACATGAATATTTTAAAAATTATTTAAATATATCTTCATATATGTATGATTTGTGATATTTGATGTATATCTCAGACAGATTACAGCCATTTTGCAACTGTGGGGGAAAGTTTTTTTTTGTTAATTCCCGTGCACTGAACATAAAAATGAAGTTAAAAATTCCCTGGCATGTCAGACTTTTTATTTGTGATCTTACAGAATTTTAAAATACTTGAGCAGAGACTTAATGTTAAAATACAGACACGTGAAGACTTACTTGGACTTCAAGGTGCTTTTACCAAATTCTTTATCTTTGGGAAAGTAGAGCAATGAAAAATCATTTGAAAGTAAAAGAATGGCCTCAGAGAGATGAATTTGTTCTAGGTCAAGCTAACGTAAAGAATATTCCTCTAGTTGATCCCAAAAATGTTTTCTTACCACCATTGCATATAAAACTTGGATTAATAAAAACCTTTGTCAAAGCACTGGATAAAGGCTGCACTGCTTTCAAATACCTCAAACAGATTTTTTTCAAAACTAAGTGAGTTAAGCTTAAAGAAGGAATACTTGTTGGATACTGCAGTTTTCTCAAAAATTAAATGACATTGAACTAAGTGCATGGATGTCTTTTAAAGGAGTTGTAACACAGTTTTTGGGCAACAGAAAAACAGAACTTGTAGAAGAATTACTTGAAAACTACAATAAAGTGGGTTGTAGAACGTCCCTTAAACCAGGGCTGTGGAGTCAGAGTCGGGAGGAATTTCTGGCCAGAGTAGTCGGAGTCAGGAAAAATGTGTCAACTCTGACTCCGGCATTTTCATTTAAATAAAACAAAACTAATAATTTTTAAAAATTTTATTTAAATTTAATTTAAACATAAAATAAATGAATTGTAACAAAATACAAAAACATTTATTTTAAATACAAAATGCAACAATTTAATTTATTAAATATGTATCAATAGTATTTGTGTTTAGTAGTTAAATTATTTTGACTCAATTGAATTTGAATATTTTTGATTCATTCCTTTTTTTATCCCCACTCTAAATAAGTATTCTACTTTTTTGAATGAGCCAGACTAATTGATCAAAGTATATATTTTTCTTTTCTGAACAAGGAGTTGAAGTAGCTAGATTGCACACTTTTTAGTTGGATTACTTTTCTGGAAAGGTGAAATTGAAGTGCAAAAGCTCTAGAATAAAGATATGTAGATGTAGAATTTTATCGCTCCCCTTTTTCCTCTTATTAATTATTTGTTAAAAATTAATTTTTTTATACAAATAAATATTAATGCAACTTAAATATTAAAAATACTAACTATAAAAGTATTTGGGTAAATGCCCAGGGCTCCTATTAGAGTTCAGAGTAAGGTACCCCTATGAGTGTCTCTGCCCCCGTAAAATGACTTGGTATTTTGCCAGAGTCGGAATCGAGTGTGTTTTTACCAACTCCGCAGCCCTGCCTTAAACTACACATTTTATATTCGCATTTAAATTTTTTCCCTGAAAATTTGGGTACTGTCAGTGATGAGCAAGAGGAGAGGTTCCACCAAGATACTCTAACAATGGAACAATGGTATCCTGGAATGATGGGAGATTATTGCTAGTTCCTTATGACAGAAAGTGGTATGAAATATAAATGAAAATCAGCATTTGCAAAAAAATTAACTATGACAGATTGATCATAAATGTAATTTCATATATGTTTTTGTNACTGCTTTCAAATACCTCAAACAGATTTTTTTCAAAACTAAGTGAGTTAAGCTTAAAGAAGGAATACTTGTTGGATACTGCAGTTTTCTCAAAAATTAAATGACATTGAACTAAGTGCATGGATGTCTTTTAAAGGAGTTGTAACACAGTTTTTGGGCAACAGAAAAACAGAACTTGTAGAAGAATTACTTGAAAACTACAATAAAGTGGGTTGTAGAACGTCCCTTAAACCAGGGCTGTGGAGTCAGAGTCGGGAGGAATTTCTGGCCAGAGTAGTCGGAGTCAGGAAAAATGTGTCAACTCTGACTCCGGCATTTTCATTTAAATAAAACAAAACTAATAATTTTTAAAAATTTTATTTAAATTTAATTTAAACATAAAATAAATGAATTGTAACAAAATACAAAAACATTTATTTTAAATACAAAATGCAACAATTTAATTTATTAAATATGTATCAATAGTATTTGTGTTTAGTAGTTAAATTATTTTGACTCAATTGAATTTGAATATTTTTGATTCATTCCTTTTTTTATCCCCACTCTAAATAAGTATTCTACTTTTTTGAATGAGCCAGACTAATTGATCAAAGTATATATTTTTCTTTTCTGAACAAGGAGTTGAAGTAGCTAGATTGCACACTTTTTAGTTGGATTACTTTTCTGGAAAGGTGAAATTGAAGTGCAAAAGCTCTAGAATAAAGATATGTAGATGTAGAATTTTATCGCTCCCCTTTTTCCTCTTATTAATTATTTGTTAAAAATTAATTTTTTTATACAAATAAATATTAATGCAACTTAAATATTAAAAATACTAACTATAAAAGTATTTGGGTAAATGCCCAGGGCTCCTATTAGAGTTCAGAGTAAGGTACCCCTATGAGTGTCTCTGCCCCCGTAAAATGACTTGGTATTTTGCCAGAGTCGGAATCGAGTGTGTTTTTACCAACTCCGCAGCCCTGCCTTAAACTACACATTTTATATTCGCATTTAAATTTTTTCCCTGAAAATTTGGGTACTGTCAGTGATGAGCAAGAGGAGAGGTTCCACCAAGATACTCTAACAATGGAACAATGGTATCCTGGAATGATGGGAGATTATTGCTAGTTCCTTATGACAGAAAGTGGTATGAAATATAAATGAAAATCAGCATTTGCAAAAAAATTAACTATGACAGATTGATCATAAATGTAATTTCATATATGTTTTTGTAAATAAAACAATTTTTCAATTTGGTATAAGTTGAATTTCAGTTATATTTTTAAGCACAATCAACAAAACTTTTAACCTCCAGTAACAAAAATTAATAATAAACTGACAAATGTTTTTATCTTAACTAAGATCTGTATCACTAACTATACTCCAAATTGGAATGTGCTAGAACACAACTTTTCAAAAATATATTTTAAACACAAGGACAAGAAAATAACAATACGTTCTCATATGTGAAAGTGAGTATCTTGTTAATCCTTATTCTTAATTTTCTCACAATAAAAAGTTATTCAACAACAAATATTTAAGTTTTAAAATTTATTTAACATAAATTTAACATTTCTAAAATTCTGGAAGCAAGATTCTCAAACAATAAAAATGGTTAATTAATGTTAAATGACTTTTAAATACTTATCTGTCAAAAATATCTCATTCAGAACATGTCCTGTCTAGAAGAAAGACTCTACTTATGCAGTTAAAGCTGTCGATAAGTTTCCTTTAAATTACATATAGAAATTTAACAACAAATATATTACTTTTTCTTCCACAAAAATTAAATTATTATTGATAGGTTAATCATTTTGAAATGTGTCTATCAATAAATATTAGTTATTCAACCAACTCAGCTACAATGTAACTATGACTTATGACTGTACCTTACTTCTGATAACATCTCATAACCTTTCAACAGTGGAATAGTCAGGTATGGTGCTACCCCTTAGTAGTGGAGAATAAACGTGCAAAATTTTTAGAGTATTTTTCCACGCATTTTTTTTCATTACTATTTCAGAAAAAGATTTTATAAACAGTTATGTCTAGCAGACAAAAGTCTTTTTTTATTGTTACATAAGTCATTTTTTATGTCAATTTTTTTGCGGTAGTTTTAGGCTAACTTTTGGCGATACCCCCAAAAGAATTTGACGTATATGAGGGGTGTTCAAAAAGTATCGGACCTTTATTTTTCCCGCGTAAACCAATGATGCATGGGAGGTCTCTTTAAATGGAGTTGTGGACAGTCATGCAGTCCTGAATTTTTTCCCTCCTGCAGGAAGCGTCAGTCGCTGGCAGTCGGCCTATGAGTGAGGATGTGTAGCAAGCTCTCGTCAGATTCCACTAAGTTGGAAAATGACTGAACAACGTGAGCAGTGATATTGCATCAAATTTTGCCAAAAGCTTGGCGATACCCAAGCGGAAACCATTTGGAAGTTTCAGCAGGCTTTTGGGGACAATCCTCGAGGCCAAAAAAAAGCACGGCAGGTCCACAGCAATGTCAAGGTCATGTTGACAGTTTTTTTCGACTCCTGTGGGGTGGTGTATCCTGAGTACGCACCACAAGGCCAAACCATCGCAAAGGAGTACTACCAGGAGGTCCTTCGTCATCTTTGTGATGCTGTGCAACACAAACAACCAGATCTGTGGTTAAACAAAACTTGGCAGCTCCATCATGATAACGTACCTGCCCATTCTGCACATCTGATTCGGACTTTCATCGCCAAACACAACATTCCTGTGGTTCATCACGCTCCGCACTCTCCCGACATGGCTCTGTGTGACTTTTGGCGATTTCCCAAGCTGAAAATGCCGCTAAAAGGAACCCGATTTTAGTCAAGAGAAGACATAATGCGGAATGCGATGGACCGACTGATGGCCATTCCAAAAGATGCATTCCAGCAGTGTTTCCAGCAATGGCAGGAGTACTGGGAGAAGTGTATACATTACCAAGGAGACTACTTTGAAGGGGATTAGGGTTTTGTACCTCAAAATCAATAAATGTATTTTTGCCGACCAAAGGTCTGATACTTTTTGAACACCCCTCGTATATTCGTCCCTCACCACTGCCACACAATCACCCTTGACAAATATATTCGTTGCTCACTGTTGAATGGATAATAATGGAAAAACGTGTCTCAGTTTATTTTTTTATGATAATTTAAACTTCATTCTGACACAACACAGTCTCCCTATCCACATTTACCAAATAATTTTGAAGTGTTACAAATGTTCCATTAATCTATCAACCAATGATCCTAAATAAAATAAAATACAGTGGGTGATCAGTTAACGAACAAATCGGATAACAAACACTTTCGCAAAAGATTTTTATGTTTGGACAACGAACACATGATTGGATAACGAACACTTTCGCAAAAGATTTTTATGTTTGGACAATGAACATATGATCGGATAACATACACCTCACAGAACAAACACAAGAAGAAGCGATGTAAAATAATGAATACCGATTGGTCTTCCCTTGTCTTCAGACAACAATTCGAAACATTTCAGAGCAAGGAAGATATCAATGCTCAACATGGTACTCAACTCGTATATACTACCCATTGGATAGTATTCCTCTGAACTTTGAAACTCTCCCTTGTAATTCCAGTCTTTTATTTTTCTGACAGAAAAAATTTTTTTTCTAGTATTCGTGAGACTGTCAGGCAGGCACTCGTTAAGTTTTGCATCAGTTTTTATTTTCAAAAGGTAAGATTATAATAGCAAACGTAGAGTGGGCAGATATCTGATGTCTGTTGTTGCTGGGCAGTATGGCTTGAATAGGTCTACAGTAGGCCTTAGTTAAATCTTATCTAAGAAAGATACTGTATTATCAAGAAGAGTCAAGCAGCTTAAGGAGTAACAAAAATCACACCTGAGAAATAAAGAACATTGAAGAGCTCATAATGGAACCTGAAACAGATCTGATGACAGAAGATCGCCAAGAACTCTTGAATGAAGAACACTAAGAAACTCGGTGAGATATGTTTTCTTCTGAAAAAGAGAATTAATGTAGATATCTGCTATTAAACACTTTTTTTTTTTTTTTTGGAAAAAGTGAGATGATGTCAGAACGACAGTCTTAGAATGGCATTCAAACCAGGTTCAGGTTAATAGTCTTAGGGATCTCTACAATTACAATGCTATTAATTACTTCTGAAAAATCTTGAAGAGAGAAAAGCAATAGACATTAGACAGATTCTTTAACCCCCAATGGAAAAACATGACTAATAAAAATGCAAGACTGTGTATATATGTATTTTTATTATTACATATAAATAAACGTAGTAAGAAAGTATATATTTTTTATTTTTTGGGGTCTCCAGAACAAATTAATCAAATTCCCATAAAAACCTATGGTAAATCAATAATCGGTTAACGAACAATTCAGATAGCAAACAAAGTCTTGGAATGGATTATGTTTATTAACCGATCACCCACTGTACAATAAAAAGTATTGATTAAACTACTAATTGACATAAAAGGAATTAAAACAAAATGAGAGAAGCAAACATAAATTACTGAACTATATATGAACTATATAACTGAATTCTATGTATATATTTCATGCAAAAACAATAGTTAAGACAATAAGAAAGTAGAAAACAAGTAAAGTAGAATAAAATAATTTTCTTTACAAGGGTGGATCAAATATAAATGGTAATTTGGCTATTCTGCTTAACATGCAGTTCCTAGCTAGATGATGTAGAGGGTTTAGTTTGTGAGGAGTGGGGGAACTGGCTTGGTTAACAAGTGTGCTCAGTTCTGTCGTCAGTACAGCCATGACCGAGTAAAAGGTACATTCATCTGTTGCACAATGCATCATCATAAAGTTTTTAATTAATGAGGGCATTGAACCCTCGATTGAAAGCACAGTTTGGGGACAGTACACTGTCTCAGAATCGTGTGTATACATGGGCCAATTAAGGGTGGGTGAGAACATATCAAAAATGAAGGTCATGATCGACGCCCAAGGACAAGCCTTACAGATGACAACATCCATGCCGTTCAAGAGCTTATTGAACATGATCACTAGTTAACTGTTGAAGAAATCTCATCAGAAGTGGGTATCAGCTATGGGAGTGTTCAATCCATTATCACTGATCATCTTGGCTTCAGAAAAATTAGTGCCCGATGGGTTCCAAGGTTGTTGACCAGAAATCAAAAACAAGTCAGGTCGAAATGGGCTGGGAAACCCTCAAACACCCTCCTTATAAGTCCAGACTTGTCCCAACTGTTGCTATTTTTTGTTCACACCCTTGAAGGAATCACTTGAAGGAAAACGATTCACAAGCAATGAAGAAGTCGAGGAGCATGTGCGCAATTGGCTCATAACTCGCCCTCAATCTTTTTATGAGAGAAGCTTTGAAGCTTCCAAATTGTTGGCAAAAGTGTGTAGAGCTTGCAGGAGGATATGTAGAGAAGAACTAAAGTTTTCACTTGTGTGTATTATTAATCAATAAATGTCTAAAAAAATTACCATTTATATTTGATCCACCCTTGTAATTAATAAAATTGCAATTGCCAATTAAAAAAAATCTATAATGTAGAGTTAAACTTCATTAAACAGTGCCTGTTCATTATAAAATGATTATACAATATCTAGCAAATAAAGACAGAACATGTTGAATGAAACATGGAAAGTGCAGATTAGAGTAAACCATCTAATCATAGTAACTGGAAATTTCAATTTCATTGCACTTTCAACTACAATATGTTGTAAAATCAGTTAACATGTCTTGTATTGAGTATTTTATCTCTCTATATTTTTTAGCTTACTAAAAAAAATGACATTTTTTTAGTAAGCTGAAAAATATAAAGCAGATTAAAAGATCAAAAAAGTATAAGTTCCAAACAAATTATCAAATAAAACCATTTATGTTTTAATGGAACTATTCTAAGAAAATTGATAATTAAAATAAAAACTGTGTACACAACATTATGTAAACATAAAATTGCTTAGTTGTATTTAAATGTTAAATTTTTATTTTTATATGAACAAAGTTACAAGTACAATAAACTACATAAAACAGATTAATTGTAATTCAAAGAAACAGAAGCTGAAATATAAACAAGTAACCCAACAAAGCACTGAACTTTTCAGAAACCCAGAAGATTATTTGTAATTAAATGCTTTTTGAGATACTTTATCTCATCTTTAAATTGTCAGTAGTAAAATTCAAATACAGAACAAAGAAATTTTTAAATCTAATGACAATTCATTATGTTATTGAACATGTTTTTAAAACTATTTGTTGCTTGTTATGGAATACATAGTTCAAACTCTCAGAATCTACTGAAATTTCATTGTTCTATAACATAATAATAGATTTAAAGACTACTCTGTACTGATAATAAGGAACTATACCTATTCCATCTTAAAAATAGGCAGGAAAAAGAAGCCTTCATTCAAGTTGACAGCAAACAAATCAATTGCAGGTTAAAGATATACATGGATAAACATTAAAACTGATATAGCCATATATTTTGGGTATGACTCATTCCTCATCTTTAAGCTAGAATTGGAACAGTTCATTATTACATTCATATCAGTTCAACCTGTATATATATATAAAGTAACTTGAAAAACATTTAATCATAAACAAGCTTCCATCCTCCTGAAAATTTTAGCATTTTGTTGGTTAACTTGTTTTATTATGGAGTTTCATTTTTTATATTATTATAAAAAATGAAAGTTAAAAAGTATATCTATTTCAGCTTAAAATTATAATAAATTTAAATAAAATTCTTATAATTTAATCAAAAATATAATGCAAATTTTTCATAGTATATTTATTTTAAAACCAGTGTTTATTACATGAACTTGCCTGTAAGATTTTTTCATGATCTGCTGAAAGAGCATATTCTAAATCCGAAGTTCTATATTCTAACCATTGATTAATGACACATTGATCCTCTAAAGATTGACCTAAATCATAAAAGAGATGAATCAATTGATGCCATAAAATTATTATTATTCATACATTCATAATTTAAGTGAATCATCCATTTTAAAGTTTAGTCAGCAACAATTTTAGGTTTACATCTAGATCCTTGTACTTTTAACCTAATATTCCTAAACTAAACAGTATAAACATACACTGATCAATACTTTATTTTTACCCAGAAATTGTCTAGGATCCTAGATCTTGTACAAGAGGTATACAAACAGGTGATGCCTCTGTTATACGATATTAAGATTTTCCATTGTATAAATTTATATGAGAGTAGCCTTGCAAATAAGTCTATACTTAGAATATACCAGTTTCCCGGACGAACGAATGGCACCATTCAAGCACGCCGACTTCACCTTATTAAAAAGAGGCTTGGTTGAAGTTGACGTGCTCGAATAAGCCATTCGTTCATCCAGGTAACTGGTATATTCTACATTGACAAAACTTATAGAAATTGAAAACTCCGGGGTCTTATAAGTCCGTACTCGTCACGGCTTCGTGCAATCTAAAATCGCCACCAAGTTCGGTTACGACTAAAGCTACGACATCACAGATTTGGTGTATATGTTTACTTCACACCAAATCTGTATAGTAAACATATAGATTTGACATTTAAATAATAAGAATTTCAATATAATTCAAGTTAAATAGTATAATTTACCAATTTCTTACCTAATAAACCATTCTTCTGCTTTGAGTTTTCTATGAGGTATTTAAATATTGTTACTAGACCATTAACTTGTTTACCATCTTTAGTTGTCAAGGAAGGAATCTGAAATTAATTTAAATGATAAATTCAATTGATGTAGGATAAGATATAAACACTCATTTGATCTATACATTGTTAATTTCCGGCATTAACTTAATACCAAATTTTAAATATTCATTCCATTTAAAGTTAGAGATTAATAAAGAGTAAGCACGTTTATCCTTTCTATCGAACCGGCATGGCACGCTCGTGCCTCAAAAAATATGCTAATACGTAATATTAACGTTTTTAATTAATTAACTTTATATATATCTTAATAACATTCGAAAACTTTACCTTTAAATTTGGATCTAAACCAGTTTTACATCCCTCCACGCCGAAATATTGGACGAAAACGTTTAACTGTTCGACAACGGTCGCCATCTTGGATATTGTGAATAGAGGAAGTTGTAACAGGAAATGACGTAACGATTAATGGTTTAGCCTGAAACGTAATAAACGTAATACAAAAATTTCACATCCCTACACCAGGAACTAGCTAAATATTTAACTCATATCATCAACAATCCACAAGACATGCCAAATTTTCTCACGCATAAAACCAAAAAACAACAATGCTAAAGACTCTTCACAGTATGGATCAATTACATGTCTTCCAATGCTTTGTACTTGCATTGCAAACAAAGTATACAATCATAATGATGATGATCGAGATATTCTTATATAAGAGTCCTTGAGTCCTCTTTGGTTCTTCCTTTCACTAAACCTCTTATCTAACACATCGAACAAAACACAATATGGCTACAATATCAGACACAACAAAACAACACTGTTCACATTATCACACTTCATGTACTGTACAATACATGGACGATATCAAACTTTATGCATTCACATAAAATCAGCTTCGTTATCTCTTACATACTACACACACATACTCAAATTATATAGAAATAGTTTGGTTTTGTGTCTAGACAATTGCAAAACACTCCACACTTTATACTCAGAAGCAGAAATATTATAGAATCCATGGAAGAAGGAGAGTTTTACAAATACTTAGGATTCCAATAGGCCAAACAAATTCTGACACTGCGGGAGTTTTTCCACAAAAAATCAAGAAACATCAAGATTACATAAAGCTATAACTGTGGCAGGCAGTAATCACACACCTTTAAACTTACATTCCGAGCACCTGGACATAGCTCAATACATAAATAACAATTATTATTAAGCAGTCGTGGGCCGAAAGACACTTCATGGCATGCATACTCATGACCTAACTCAGGACTATGTTGACAAAAATGCGACAAACTACTAGATGACTAGGGCTACCTGTTTGGAGAAACTGAGGGGTTTATGGTTGTCATTCAAAATCAAGCCATAAACACTAAAAACTATTGAAAACACATCCTAAGGATACATCACTCACAAATACTGTACTACATTCTGCTAGAAACAATACAACATATAACCTCTGGTTGCAAACTCTTTCGACGAATTTCGACTTTCCACCGAATGTGACACAGCCACCCGGAAGTGACCTTTTACCCTGCTACGACTTAATAAAAACATACAGAAAACATTATGTAATTCACGAATGACTAATAATAAGAATGTATAAATATTATTGTATTTTTCATTATGTTTTTTATTAGCTGTTTATAATTTTGATGTTCTTACGCATTCGATTTCATAAATATTCTATTTATATTTAAATTGAATTATATTCTATTCGTTTGATTTCTTCTATGAGCATAAAAATAAGAATTAAATTCTTAGATGTTCGAAGATGTAAATATAAATTTTCATGACTGTGTTAAAGAATAAGATTATGACATTAATGAGGAAGAGGAAAGAGTATAATTCTTCATTTAATAGCAATAAGTAACTAATTAATGTTATTGTATGATAGTTAATGTGTGATCTCCGCCATCTTGTCTTTAAAATTGCGGTGATTGCTTTCAAAAAACATTATGGCCACAAGATATAATACACATGAAAATTCTTTTTTTAAAAAAGAAAAAAAAAGTCCTTGCATTAACATAAATGGAAATCTTTTCAGATTAGAATATGGCGTATCAATCGAAAAATTAATGGAATTTGGATCTGTCCTTCCCGTATCATTAAAAGTAATTTAATTCAATAATTTGAATTTATTTTTACAGTTAACTATGCTTTATATTTATTTTATTTTGAAGGAAATTTTGATAAAATTACACACAGAAGCTCATCAAACAGTACATGTTTTTGGAGTTACTCCATTCGTTTCCATACATCGTCCATTAAAACAGAATATTAGTAACGGTAATCGTATCAAATGGAAAAAAGTTGGAATCCACGTAGTTGCAGTCATATTTAAAGTGATATATAAATTTTATAATCATTACAAAATTTGTTTAAAATATTTTTCCTTATTATATATTTTTACAGTATTTTCTACGCTCTCTCCCATATTCTCTTTTACATCCTGATTATTATTACGAATGGATCAACATAGAAATTAATTTGACTTCTCTCTCTGTTTATTCCTACGTAAAGAGGTAAGATGAAATTAAATTATGTCTTTCAAGATAATAATTCTGTTGTAATTTTATTACTATAAAAACTTTTTGCATATTCGGTAGATTAATCAATCAATTGCCAGAATCTCATAGAATTTTGTTGAATCATCTGTTAATGATATTACGTCGCATATGCCAGTCAGTTCCAGTTACTCTCTCCACTCCAATTATAGTCGGTTATTTTATTGGACCTTACGTATTATGGAATCCAGAATTAGGATTTTGCACCTTTCCTTCTCGAGGAATCCATCTACAACTAGCGAATATAATGAAATATTTAATCATCCACATGGATTCCTTATTCCAAAATATGTTTATCGAAGTAGGTACCAATTAATTAGTTAATATATATATATATATTTTCTTTTAAAAATTTAATAGACGAATTTTTTGTTCACAGCAAATATTTCCAATGGACATTAAACCAAATGATAAACCATTAAATCAGCGTAATTTTTATTACTCCAGTTTTGTCTATCATACAACTGATATGAATGTCACAAAAATCAAAAATAATAGCTCTTCTACTCTATTAACTTCTGTTAATACGAATGATAGGGGTGTGGATACTTTAAATCTTTCTATAGAAACAAGTAATTCTGACATTACTCAGAGTGTTAGAGGTGTACAAAGAAAGAAAAAATCAAAATTAATTATTTCTCTGAAATGGTCAATTCATTCTGAACTACATCCATTTGATTTGGATAAAGATATTGAAAGCCAAAATCAATCAAGAAGAACTTTTGAGGAAAGAAAGGGGTATGGTAAAGCTGCGAAATGGTGTTTGAGACATCAGTTAATTGAAGGAAAAATCTCTCTTCCTTCTTGGATCTATCAATTTGAGAATTGGAAAATGGATAGCGATGAATTGCCCAGTTGGATATTAAATTCTAATTTTACTATGAACATGAACGACCTAACAAAGATAACAGAAGTTAGTGATTATTGTTTTAGTACAATATTGTTTTACATATATTTTATGCTTATTTAAATTTGGTATTGACATACAATGGCGGCTCTGAATGTAGGATAAACATACAATCGCTAGATCACTCGTGTAAAAAAAACCTCTCTGGACTCCAAATCTAGGATTCAGTAAATAGATGAAAAACTTAACATTTTAATTTTCATTAAGATAATATATTCGATTTAAGATTTTCGAATATATAGAACAAAATTTTATTATTATCGTGGTGTAAATTCGATATACCACTACAGAAAAATACATGCAAATCAGGATTTTCAGCGCAGTTAGTGGTGGATTTCCCATTACACCTACTAGGAACGTGCTTAGAGGCGTATGCATATTGTGGGTCTGAGTTTCGTATTAAACGAGTTTAATGCCCGATTTTTCAAATTTTTCTGTGGCCGTAAATTTCCTGTAATCATGCCGTTTCTCAAGAGTCTATTCACAAAATGATTACAAAATTGTCTAGTTTATAACTTTTTGAGGTTGCTCTCTTGTGTCTCAAGAAAACAAATAACATACTTTTTAGGTAAAAGTATGTCGATGAGAGATTTTAATGGCATAATGTTGTGGTGGCATGGAAACGTAGCGTATATCTTAATTTCCTGTATTTACACGAAATACAAGAGAAAATGAATGATGGACCTATCAAAGGATGCAGGTTACACGGGAAAACAGGTTAGAGTTAAAAGTACCGACCATTTTGACTTAACGTAGACTTATTATATGGAAAATACAGTAGACCCCCTATAACACTGTTGATTATTCTGTTTTATATGAATTCCATGTTGTACGAGTCACTTAGACTTTACAAATACATAAGCCGTTCACAGCCCGGCCCACGTATTTGTATTTCTTACCGTAATCTTTGATTTCCTCAAATTGTTATTATCTATTTATTTAGTGAAACTTTTTCATTTTATATATTATATTCGATATTTATAAGGGAACCACTATATTAATAAAAGTATTTTTTTTAATCTCATATAGTTTCTGTATATATAAATATATTTTTTTTCTTTTTAGGTGAAATCAGATCTATTGAGAAAATTAATTTTCGAAACGGAACAGAAGAAACATCTTCGAACATGTCGAAGAATTTATAATAATATGGATTCTTTAAGAAAAATAATTGATGAATTGTTTTAAAAAATGAATATTAAAAAATAAAAATTAATGTTAATAAAAATCTTTCTAAATTTTATCATCAGATGTCGCCACTATAAAAGTTAAAAGTTTATTTATGTAATTTTCTATTTTCAAATAAAATACGAAATTTAAGTAATTATTTTAGATTAAGACCCAATATCAAAGGATTTGCCATTATTTTTTCGCCTATATCTATACACTTATATTGAGAATGAATGATTTATAAAACATATAATTATACATTTGGAAATTAGTGTGTCCTTATAAATTAGAAAAAATTCAAACTTAACTATTAAAAAAAAAACATTGTTATATTAAAAGCCATAATAAATACAGACTGTCACAAAAGTCCCTATTCATTTTATTCAAATAGGTTAAAAGATATGTTTAATAATTTGATAATATGTAAGGTCTTTCAGAGGTTGAAGAGAGATCCATGCCTTACTTTTTGAGGCTTTAGTACATTAAAAAATGATGATAAAACATTTCAGAAAATCGTGTTAATTTTTTGAATAATAAAATTTGATTTAAAAAAATTAAGTTTTCTCTTAAAACATTATTATAGCAATATAATCATTAATAAAATCTTTGAATTAAAATTTATACACATATGTTTATATCGTGTCACGCTCACTGCCACGTTCTTGGAATATTATTCAAGATTTTCTAATACACTCAAAATAAATATTCATATTTTAATGTGTAATAAACAAAGACATATATAAATATACATGTTGTACCGCTGTTCTAATTCACGAGTGCACTCCAGATTGATCTAGACTAATTCGCGCACCATTTGCACAAAAATTCACGAACTACTTTGTCATATTTTTGCATTGAATTTCTTAAATTTTTCCTAAAGGTTCATCACTGATTCAGCCAGGCGCTCAGTAGAGCAGCCGGGTGATGAGTTGGCTGCGGAGGTATAGAGAGAGCCGGAGTAAATGGAGCAAATGACCCAAACTTTTCCGTCGTTTTTCTGACATTTAGACGAAACGCCCCGTCCAAATGTCGTAGAAAAATGGCAATGTAAAGATTTGAAAAACTAAAAATTATAATAATTACCACTGGTCAGACCTCCGGCTACACTCAGGAAGTTTGACCTCCCAATAGCTTTTTCGACTAGACGTGAGAAGGCAAAGAGATATAGTCAGTGTTGCATCCAAATTCAAAATGTCTAAAATTGGTGGTTTGTTTGTTTCTCCCGAAGCATAATTTCTGGCTAAATACTGTTCTTATAATTAAACTTTTTTTCTATTTAATCTAAAAAATGAAGTGATAGTAAGTTTTGTCTGATTTCATTGAACAAAAAAAAAATTGTTCTTCCCAGTTGCTGAAGCATTAGATCAGTGTTTCTCAACCTCTAACAAATCGTCGCCCCCTTCAGTACAAAATACTGATACCGAGGGCCAAGACTAACGCCAAATTCGTACTGCATCGAATAGACTAGTGACTAGTATAATGTTATTTGTTTAATTATTGTACGATATAACGAATAAAATATCTAATTATTCTTAATATAATGTTTTACTATATCGCCCAGAAAATTGTTTTTCGCCCCCCAAAATATAAATTGTTATTAATCGTTCCACAACATAGAAAAACACCGACACGGGGCGATATCGCCCCCGTTGAAAAACACTGCATTAGACAAGTTGAAGAATTCTATGAAAATATACTTATGATACTTAAGAAACTAGAATACTCAAAATTTAATTCAATAAAGAAAGAAGTTAAATAAAAAAAAATATCAAGTAAAATACTCTTATAAATAAATTATTTATGGCACTGGCTAGTTGAAATGACTGTCAAATCAGCTCCTATATATCATATGCGTTTAAATGCAAGTTGAATGTAATGACTTTAATTCAATCGCTAAAAAAAAACTATTAAAAATTTAGTAAAATTTGGGAATCGATACATATCCATAGTAAACTTTAAGAACTCAAACAAAATATGTGATAGAAAATTGGCAGTTATTCCTACGAGATTAAGAATTTGATTCATCGACATCTTTTTAAGAGATAGGATCCACAATGATAATAATATAATTGTGCTCTAGACAGATCTTTTTTAATAAAGAAAATCTATAACAATTCAAAGAGGCTAGAGATTCGTCTAGTATTATTGGGCCAAAAGCCAAAGTCGGTTTCTATTCTAAGAGTTTTAAAAAGTCATAAACATCAGGAGAGTTGTTAGTCATTCTATGTTAATTTTATTATTATTGTACTTCATGCCCTTAGATATTCTATTGTTTTATTTAAGTTTATTATTTGCGTGTTTGTAATCTATATATTTAACTATTTTTTCCCATATTTTCCTTTACTATTGTTGCATATATATATATATTGTTTTGTTTGTTCGAAATTCTTGCTGTCTTCTAATTTTATCTTTATACAGTACATCCTGTTCCCATTGTATTTAGATTTTAGTTTGTGAATATTTATTTTTGATTGTTCTCTACTCTTTAACTTGGCGTATTTTTATATATTTAGCATATTTTGGGACTAAAGATTTTCGTTTTATGATCTAATTTATTGATTGGTGTAAATTTTATATTATAACAGTATGAACTGTCGTATTTAAGTACCGTATATTTTTGTTAGTCATCTCTGTATGATATTATATAATTAAAATTGAATTTCCAAGGACTAATTTCGATTTATAGTACTGGAAAACAGATGGTTTCGCTTTACGATGGTTTTCCAGGATCGTAAAAAGGAGGGGTCATATTAAATATTAGAGAATTGTAAGTCAAGTGAAAGATAATAACAAGAAAAATTCCAAAAATTAAAGCTGAAACATCGTTTAATTTCTTCTTTAAAACGTGAAATAAGTGATCAAAATAATTTTAAATTATATACAAAAGTCATTTTTAATCCTCACTTTTATTATAAAAAATATGAGTATTTATAATAAAAACTAGTAAAAAAAAACAATTGATATAATTATCAATATAAACCTAAAATTTTCTAATTATTTACATACATAACTATAAAATAATTTATAATTGTTAATTGGGATACAATTTAAGTTTAATAACAATAAATAGAAAGTATTACTTTAAAATCACTCGAATAAAAACACAAGAAATTTTTAAATAGGTATTAAGTTTTATACTTGGTGATTGGAAGAATTCAAAAATGAATTAACCAATGAAAATTAAAAGAGTGGTCAAAGTCCGCCTATGATGACACATCTGAGTAACAACGAAATAAATTAACTTCTCTAGGAGTTAGACAAAGTTCATTTATGGTCATCTATATGGTTAGACAATGTAAGGACACATAGGCTTCGGACCACCCGTCTCTACCACATCGCCATTCGCTTAATATATGCTGTCTATCGGCGATACTAACGTCAAAGTTGTTATCATTTAAGTCAATTAAACTTTCGATTAATTAAACATTTCGCATAAAAGTCATAAAATTTATAAATGATCTTCTATACATTATTATAATTTATAAAAAATATGATTAATATCCTTATAGTTTTGTAATAAAACGAGCTTTTTAAGAGTTAAAAAAGGCCAGATGAGTTGAATTGTACGGTTTCTCTACTTTTTACCTGTTGAATGATTTTCTAATGTTTAATTAAATAATCATTTATAACAATTATTTATTTATTAAAATTATTAATAATTACTATTTAAATTATTTAATAATTAAATTGCATTTTTTTTAAAGGGTTTAAACGGGTTTAAACGGGTATAAAAACGTATGAATCGTATTTCATTATATATAATTTAATTATTTTAGATTTATTTTTATAAAATTTGAATAAATAAATTCGATATTCTTTACAGGAAATCGATTTCTTAAGATTTGTTGAATGCTTAGACGAAGTTTTTTTTATAGTAAACTTTAAAATAAATATAGAATTACATAAAATTAATTAGATTGTAAAATGATATAATACTAATTAAAGTTAAATTCACTTTTACTATGAAAAAAAGAAGGAAAAAAACAACACGGAAAGGCGACATTTAAGATCGTTTCGTATAGTCAGAGTGGCCCAAAAATCAGTTTAACCGTGTTTTATGTGTTCCGGTATTTGTGAATATAAATCGTAAATTGAGTTAGAACAAAGCGCTAACAGAAGCATAATTTTAAAAAATATGATTAAGTGCTTAAGAGCAATTTATTATTTACAATAGTTAACTGACTTTTGATTCATCCTGTATATAAATTTTTAGTTAATTTTTTTTTTATTTACAAAGATTAAGTAATTTTTGAGCTATTTTATGTATAAGCTATTGCCAATTAAGATAAGAAGCTTTACCATTATAATAGCTAACTGACTTTTGGACCACCCCCTGAAACGTAATAAACGTAATACAAAAATTTCACATCCCTACACCAGGAACTAGCTAAACATTTAACTCATATCATCAACAATCCACAAGACATGCCAAATTTTCTCACGCATAAAACACCCACATGAAACCAAAAAACAACAATGCTAAAGACTCTTCACAGTATNTTAAAAATAGAATTTTTATTACTTAGCAAAAGAAACTCTTTAATTTAAATCACTTTCGTATTATATTTTTATATATAAAAGACTAAATTTTGGGATCCTCTCTGTATCTGGATCTAGCCAACTGGCATTTTGATCGGGCCTCAGATACAGATGGGCCCCAAAATTTCTTTTATTCCTATTTAAGTCAACGTATACCTTTAACTTACATTTTATTTTATTGTATTTTAATAAATTTAATTGTAAGAATCAAAATATTTCCTTTAAACTATTAAGAAATTAAGTATAAAGAAATATCATCTGTAAATTCTATAATTTCTATTCAGATTTTTCATACCAATTTATATTTAGTAGAAAGGAAATTAACGGTTTTATATGAAAAATAATATGTCATAAAAGAGATTTAAAAGCATTCTTTGTTATATTAAAATTTAAAAAATCTTTCTGTATTGATGTCGTAACTATCTCTATTAAAAGTAATAGCAGATGTAATTTCTATGCCCTTGGCCTATTTTGATTAATTTATCCTTTTTGCAAGGTCGTTTATGATCGTGCTTATACAAAAATTTGATGATTTCTCTATATAA